ATTCTCCGACAATACACTGGCACTGCACTTAATAATAAATCCGCTTTGAGATGTTTCATTGACATGACAAGGAGCTGTATCAAATGCTAGGATTATTATTGTTATTCATAATACTCTCCAAAATTAGGTAAATAGGATGCAACCCACGAGGAAGAGAGTTGGACATTTCATTCCAGACAGGGGAAATTTTCACGTATGGATAACATCCACATGTGAAACCCTCGAACTGGTTTAGATTCTCTTAAACACTGTGATGGACTCCAGAATCCAACGAAAATCTGACACCCTCTCCCATGGAATGGGAGATGATTCCATTATTACAACAACGACAACAACAACTTGCATTTATATAGCGCCCTTGTTGTGGGCTAGCGTCTCGGAGGGCTCCTGTCTCTTAAGTCATCTGGAATTTGACCTGAATTCAGTTTTACCCAATTTAATTAAACCCTCTGAAACAAACTTGAACCTGGTTCTAGTCAAGACCCAGAAAAAGCATTCTGATCCTCAGGCTATAGAAGGAAACATAGAAACAGGGGTAGGATGTTCAGCCCACTTGAGCCTGTTCTGCCATTCTATAAGATCATGGCTGATCTGTACCTCAACTTCAATTACCCGTCCTTGCCTTAATACCCTGACCTAACAAATATCTACCAACCTCAGTCTTGATTTAAAAGGTTTAGGAGCGGGTTGGGTATATTTAGTATCCGCTCTGAATTTGCAGTGATGTATGAGAGAATGGTATCTACTGTGTGTCCATGTAATTACTAAAATATCTGTTGCATTCTGAGTTGCCACCTTAGTCTGTCTCGTGAGGACACGACTATATCATGGTCCAATGGCGAAGAAGCACCTTGTAAATGGGATTGAGCTTTTATTGCCCCATTTAATTTTTTTAATGACCCAAGGAATGAGCACCCATTCAATTTCTGTACAAAGATCTTATCAAGACATTGTTCTGCTTGTCAATGTTTTATGGATCAAAGGAACTCTGAAAACAAAGTATTCTTGATATCTTTTAATATACGCTGATCACTGACTAGCGACTTTTTCACCAAATATCTGACCCAACAAACCAATGCTGATGCCAATTCCTCCACTGGAGCTGTGCATCCCAATCCCCAATTCTTTGCTCTTTCCTTCTACCTTGTTCACCTCCAACACAAACAGCATTGTGTGACAGACGCCACTGAGTGTGTCAATATTTTCTCAGTAGAAAATTTCGCCCACAAAAATACACAGTGCTTTGAGACGTCTCAACATTGTAATGAGGCTCTATATCAAATCCAAGGATTATTATTATTAAAACCATGCACGGCAAAGGTTTACTGTGGCTTTTTGATAAATAATCTTTGCATCTGATATACAACCTGTAACTTCAAAGCGCTTCACAGGCAATTTGACGAGGTGATGAGGCGCTATATGAAATGCAAGAATTCTAATAATATGTTGTGTCTAAAACTTCACCCAGCACCCCAGTGAAACTGTGCACTAATCCTTATGGTCTTTCCATAATATTTCTACTGAAATAATTTGCGTAACTACCCGTTGTTGTGTGTTACTCACACAGGTCCTGAGATCCTATCAGCTGTGCAAGGTTACCTTATCCTTGGTTACCTTAAGCACTACGAGACAATGAACCCGTGTGAAGGTTAAGGGCGCTATATAAATGCAGGTTTTTGTTGTTGTTACCCCAGTCCCCAAATTCAGTTGCTTTATATGGCTTCTTTCCCGTACTTGCCCCTTTGGTCTGATTCCCCATTTTACCCAATTGCGAACCAGGGATCATGACCCTTCGGTTGGAGCGTTGGTGAGTTGACAGTTTTAGGAATTGAGTGAAAGCAACGAGTTTAGATTTGAAGCTCACGACACACTTGGGGTTTCAAAATTGACTCTACGAAAGATACAGGTGTTCTCAAAACCCGAGAACAGGCTGCGATTTCTACATCTGGGCACAATTGAAGCTGATTACGTATGTATAAAGATGACATTCCTGAGATTGTTCCTGGAAAGAACAACAACTTGACTGTTTGCCTCGGCTCGTGGTGTTGGTTCCATTCTGTATTGAAGCTTTAGATTACCAACTCTGCCATTTTGACCACCCCAGTGTCTGTGCACAGTAACCCTGACCCCCCAAGCTCTTAAGAGAGCGCCCCCTGCTGGACCACAGTGATGTTTGCCCTTCCTTGCACCAACCAGCCTGTGGCCTCTGTGAGAAAGATTACCAAATTTAGTGGCTGGTTGAGTGTAGTTTTGAGCGGTGAGCATCACTCTGCCTGGGAACTTGGTTGAGACTGGCCCACCAAATGCATTTCACACACTGTAGTTCCCCCACACCCAACAAATAAATACAAGAAGCGTTCATTCCCATCTGTAAACGCAATCCCAAATCCCAGAGGTGACAGGTCAATGTCTGATGCACATCCCATTTAGTCCCCCCGAGAGATGGATTTTAATGTTTTGTTTCGACCAGCAAAGTATACAGTCAATTCACTTTATACTATATTCTGTGAAGCGCTTTGAGATGTCTCGAAGATGTGATAAGGCTCTACATTAAATGCGAGGATTATTATTATTACCTTTCTGTATCAGACAAGTATGTCTCCCTAGTTATGCCATAATTGGGTCGAAATGTCAGTGTAAAACAGTTAAGTCCATTCAACTGGACGGCAAATGAAGTGATACAATGGAACGCTTCTACAAACGCTTTCTTCCATTTCAGATATCGACTGACAATGACTTATGTTTACGCTGGTTTTGTGCCCGTTCAATGCTCCCGCACTGTTTGCCAGGACTTATCCGTTTTATGTACACTTGCTCCTAGTCAGGTTAATTACCCTTTCTTTACTCTATTAAACGACGACAAGAATAGAGATTCCTCATCTGAACAGCAGAGACTTGTAACGACAGACTCAGACACTCTCACCAGGCTAAGAACATACAAAGAGAAAGAACTTACACTTTTTGCCGTGTCTCAAAGCACTTTACCGGAAAAAGTAAAGCAACTGTTTTTGTGGGCAAACACAGTAGTCGTTTGCAATTGCAAGTGTCCTCAAGAAGTTGTGAGTTAATGGAGTTTTGCCCACAAAATACACAGTTACTGCACTATAAAGCACTTTGAAACGTCTCTATGACATGATAACAGCAACAAATTACATTTGTATAGTGCCTTTTGTGTCGTGAGGACGTCCCAAGGCGCTCGTCAGTCAGGGAATTAAGGCAAGATATAAGTTAAATTATATATCATTCAATAAATAAGGTGCTCTGTCAAATGCAAGGATTATTATTAGTATTAATAATCTGAACTATTGTTAGCCAGGAAACCGGGAGAAATTTCATTTTTTTTTGAACAGTGTCATGGGATCTTTCGTCCACAAAACACACAGTCGCTACACTTTACAGTATATTCTGTGAAGCGCTTTGAGACGTCTCGAAAACGTGATAAGGTGCTCTATCAAATGCAAGGAGTATTATTATTATTATCTTTATCATCTACCACAACTGCCTAGTTTTGCCATAATCGGGTCGACATGTCAGTGTAAAACAGTTAAGTCCATTCAACTGGACGGCAAATGAAGTGGTACAATGGAACGCTTCTACAAACTCTTTCTTCCATTTCAGCTGACGGCTGACAATGACTTATGTTTACGCTGGTTTTGTGCCCGTTCAATGCTCCCGCACTGTAGAAAGTTTCTAAAAAAAAAAAAAAGTTTTTTTAAAAAAAAGTTTCTGACGAAAGAGTTTGATGGAGCCACGAGGTTTAATGTTTCACCCGAGAGAGAGAGTATTCTAACTTTGCAATGTTCCCCCCGGTCCTGCCCTGGAGCTCAAAGTGGAGACCGTCAGATTCTTCTCATTCAACTCCTGTTAACCTTGCAAGACAAAGCCGGAGCTATAACAGGTGTGATAGTCCTAGTTAGACAGCGATGGGGAGACTCGCAATGGCAAGCTGGATGGTTTCGGCTGGTAGCATCAAGATCCCTTGGCCTAAGAATTGGCCTCCCTTCAAATGTAATCAATGGGCACAGTACCTGCTTTGCCACAGGGCTTTCTGTTTCGAACCTGACCCCTGCCAAAACCTCCCAGCAGATGGGATCGCTGGCGGGAAGGGGGCGGCGAGGGGGGTAAATGCATCTCTCTCTCTTTGCTTTGTTGCGTGTTGACTTTGCAAAACAAAGCGTTTGGTTTTCATGCTGGAACATTCCATTCCTGTGCCTGTGTTTGATGTGTTGCGAAATGTCCCCGACAGACAAAAGCACAGCGCAGGCCGTGTTACTGCCCTTGAATGATTGTTCGGTTATTTTGCCCTGCCGTCTTCTCCCAATATTAGCCTGGTGGGTAATGGCCCTGGCTGATGGAGGTACTAAGTGATATGGTTGATCTCCATCATCAGGGCTACAAATGACCTCTGTTGCCTCTGGGTCAGCGAGAGGGAAATCAGCCCCTTCAGATCTCTATTCAGAGATCACTCCCCCCCCCCCCCCCACATCCACATCCACACACACCCCACACCCCTACCCACACACACACACCCACATACACACACCCAACACCACACACACCCCACACCACACACATACACCACACACACACCCAACACCACACACACCCCACCACCCCAACACACCCCACCCCACCACACACCCCACCCCTCCACACACACCCACACACACCCTATCCCCCACACACACCACACACGCCCCATCCCCCACACACACCACACACGCTCGCGCTGGTAAGTGCGTTTTCTGTGGACATTGGGTCAGGCTTTGCTGTATTGTCCCTGTAGTTAAATAGCTTGCAACCACCATATTTATATTATATCTAAGCGCTCTGAGTCGCTGCTCTGTGTGGGGGGAGCTGGGTATACGCAAGTTATTATTGTTCTTATTCACAACCCCAGGAAATGCATGTATTGGAGAACAGGGACTTGGAGAACAAAGACATGACTGGTTCGTTACGACTTTATATGGACCTGTGCGTTCTCCTCTTTGTTTCTACAGATACACGCGGAACCTTGTGGATGAGGGAAATGGGAAATTTAACCTGATGATTCTGTGCTGGGGAGAAGGACATGGCAGGTAAGGAGACAAATCGAAAGAAATATTATTTATCTTTATTCTATACGCGAGTTCAGTGAGCTTATCCAGGGATTAACTGAATTGCAGGTGCCTGGAGCAATTATTGACCTGTGCTGAGTTTGCTGATCTCATTTGAGGCTACAGTGGGCAAAAAGACGAAAGTGTCAGCCTGGCTAACTTGGTAGCACTTTCACCTCAGAGTCAGAAGCTTCCAAGTTTATGTCCCGAGTCAAGACTTTGAACACACAATCTTGGCTGACATTCCAATATTGCATTGTCAGAGCCGAAGCCCTTTGACTGGAGAAATGATCCAGAAAAGAGGGCTTCAGGTTTCTGGATCATTGGGACCAGTTCTGGGGCAGGTGGGACCTGTATCATATGGATGGGCTGCACCTAAACAGGGCTGGGGTGAATGTGCTTGCAGACAGGCTGTCTAATGCTGTTGGGGAGGGTTTAAACTAGTTTTGAGGGGGGAAGGGAATGCAAAAAACGAAGAGCTAGAAAATGGCGAAATAAAACAGGGGGGAAGCGCAGAACAGGTCAAGTCGGACTTGGAGTTCATGTGCCTAAATGCACGGAGTTTAGCAAACAAGATTGGCGAACTGCAGCTCAAGTGGTCATAGGGGGATACGATGTAGTAGCAGTAACAGAGACTTGGCTCAAACAAGGACAGGAATGGGAGCTGAATATTCCTGGCCACAATGTATTCAGGAGGGATAGGGAAGGAAAAATAGGAGGGGCTGTGGCAATGTTAGTCAAAGATACGGTTAAAGCCGTGGAAAGGGTCGAGGTGCTGGAGGGCCCCAAAACGGAATCTATCTGATTAGAGCCAAGGAACAAAAAAGGAGCTGTTACGCTGGTAGGGGTGTACTATAGACCACCAAATAGTGGGAAGGAAATAGATGAGCAGATCTGCAAGCAGATCTCAGACAGATGCAAGGCCAATAGAGTCGTGATAATGGGGACTTTAATTATCCCAACATAGACTGACAAAACAACAGCGCAAAGGGAAAGGAGGGGGAAATATTCCTATCAGTACGTTTCCAGCCCAACAAGGAAGGAAACAGTGCTAGATCTAGTTATGGGGAATCAAGTAGGGCAAGTGGAGCAGGTTTCAGTGGGAGAGCATCTGGGTAATCGTGATCATAACATCATTAGATTCAGAGTACATATGGAAAGAGACAAGGAACCATCTAAGGTGAAGATACTCAACTGGAAGAGCGCAAATTTCAGTGAGTTAAAAAGGGACCTAGGCAAGGTGGGTTGGAAAGAAAGATTGGCGGGTAAAACAACTAAAGAGCAGTGGGAAGTCTTCAAGGATGAGATAGCTCGGGGACAAAATAAATACATTCCCACAAAAGGGAAAAGTCGGGCTTCCAATCCTCCGTGGATGACGAAGGAATTAAAGGGAATTCTAAAATATTTTACAAACATATCAAGGAAAAAAGGCCAGTCAAAGGTAGGGAGGGACCAATTAAGGACCGAGGGGGAAATCTTATTGTGGAGGCAGAGGGCAATGGCTGATGTGCTGAATGAGTACTTTGCATCTGTCTTCACAAAAGAAGTGGATGCACCAAATGCCGCAGTATCGGAGGAGAGGGGAGAGGAAATGGATAGGATAAGTATAAACAGAGAGGAAGTACTGAAAAGGTTGACTGCGCTGAAGGTAGATAAGTCGCCCGGTCTGGACGGGATGCAGCCGAGGTTACTATGGGAGGCACCAGTACAAATAGCGGAGGCTTTGGCTACAATTTTTCAATCTTCGTTGGACACAGGAGTGGTGCCTGAGGACTGGAGAGTGGCCAATGTGACTGGAGACTGTACAAAAAGGGACAGAAGGACAAACCTGGGAACTCCAGGCCAGTGCCTGACATCAGTAGTGGGGAAACTCCTGGAGACTATAATCCGGGACAGAATAAATCTTCATTTAGAGGAATATGGGTTAATTAGGGACAGCCAACATGGATTTGTTATAGGCAAATCTTGTCTAACAAATCTAATAGAATTTTTCGATGAGGTAATGGAGAGGGGATAAAGGTAGTGCAGTTGATGTAGTTTATATGGACTTTCAAAAGGCATTTGACAAAGTGCCACATGAAAGACTTGTAAGAAAGATAGAAGCCCATGGTATAAAAGGGACAGTGGCAGCGGATCCAGAACCGACTGGGAGACAGAGAGCAGAGAGTTCTGGTGAACGGCTGCTTTTCTGACTGAGGGAAGTGTACAGTGGTGTCCCAGGGATCGGTATTAGGACCACTGCTCTTCTTAATATACATAAATGATCTGGACTTGGGTACAGCAAGCACCATTTCCAAGTTTGCGGACTCCACAAGGATAGTAAACAGTCAGAAGGATAGGAGCCAACTGCAGGAAGACATAGACAGAATGGTAAAATGGGCGACACATGGCAGATGAGTTTCAATGTGGAGAAATGCGAAGTAATGCATTTTGGTAGAAAGAATGAGGGGAGGCAATATAGACTGGTAATACAATCTTAAGGGGGTGAGGGAACAGAGAGACCTGGGGGTTCAGGTAAATGAATCCTTGAAGGTGGCAGGACAGGTAGACAAGGCTGTAAAAAGGGCATATGGGATACTAGGCTTTATAAATAGGGGCATCAAAATCATGAGGGGATTTGATAGGTTAGAAAGGGAAAAACTGTTTCCACTGGTGGGTGTGTCGGTGACTTGAGGTCACAGATTCAAAATAGTCTCTAAAAGAAGCCGAGGAGAGGTGAGAAGAAATGTTTTCACGCAGCGAGTTGTTCGAATCTGGAACGCATTGCCTGAAAGGGCGGTCGAGGCCGATTCGATAACTACTTTTAAAAACGCGGTGGACGGGTATTTGAGGAGGACGGGTTTGCAGGGTCATGGGGAAAGGGCTGGGGAGTGGGACTGACATTACATTGCTCTATTCAAAGAGCCGGCACAGACTCGATGGGCCGAATGGCCTCTTTTTGTGCTGTACAATTCTGTGATTCTATTAAAGCAAGTCTGCCTGTTAAGATTGATCATTAGAAAGGTCAAGTGGCTTTCTCCCAGTGTCCTGGCCAACAATCCTTCACCAGATAAAATTGGTCGTTCACTTCATGGCTGTTTTGGGACATTGCCATGTGCAAGTTGGCTGCTGCGTTCACTTACAAATTGTGTACTCACTACATGTTACACGAAATCCTGTGAAGCACTTGGAGACGTGCTCCTAATGGGATAAGGTGTTGTATCAAATGCAAGGTTGACTAGAAACCAGTCAGGAACAATGACGCAAACCAGGAAATCAGAAACAATCATTGGGGTGGGGGGAATAAGTAGAGCTCTCGTCCTCCTTTAAAGGTGTCAATACTTTGTTCTTCTTCAGTTGGAGGTCAGTTAGGTTATTTAAACTTTCAGTATTTTGCCAACACCAACACAGTTATCTAGTAAGAGATTAGTGCTTGTTACACACAATTAGCAATCACGTCACTAGCCATTGAAAACTGATTCTCTGACAGGAAGAGAGCAATACCAGTGTGACCCTGTGTCCCAATAAGAAGAGACGATTCAGCATTAAAGCATTTAGGTTGTCTTCAGGAGACAGAATTAAAAATAGCCATTTTTCCACGAAATATTTATCACAGAAAATCCCATGTTAAGTGTTTTGTTGTTTAAAGAATTGAGCTTCCTCCTCGCCTATCCCCTTACAGATTGCATGCAGTGACCATGTTAAATATTCATTGAGCACATCAACTATTTCTCACAGTGTCCTGGCCAACAATCCAAATAAAATTGGTCACTGTTGAAACATCTCAAAACTATTCACCTGTAATTGCTGTTAAGTGCAATGATTGTCAACTATTATTATATTATTATTATAATTATTATTATGCAACGTACTTTGTAAGTTTTCAGTCACTTTTTAATTCTCTCCACCCAAGTAATATTCACCTGCAAGTACAGTTACTACACTTTACAGAAAACTGAAGAGCTGTTAAGGTGTTTTGAGGTGACGTGGTTTGTAATCAAATGCAAGGATTATTATTAGCTCCTCATCTGTGCTGGGGAATCTCTTGTATCTAATTTAGCAAATTTCTTTGCTGCCGTTGTCTTGAATGTTTGTCTCTACCTCTGGTTGCTCTGTAGTAGTATCCATGACCACACTGACTCTCACTGCTTCTTGAAGCTGCTACAAGGGCAGCTCAAAGAAACTCTATTCAATTGGCCGGACGTCAAGAGCAAGAGCCAGGAAATGTCAAAGAAATGGGAAAAAACCTTGCAGGAAAATCAGTGCACCTACATCAATGGTAAGATCTCTTCCATGATCAAGAAGAAAAAAAAAATCCCCTTATTTATGTTGTCTATTATTTGTTACCTTTTGGAACTCCATCCCACATTCCCTCTGCCTCGCCCCCTCCCTTGCCTCCTTCAAGACCCGGCTTAAGACCCTCCTCTTCGACCGTGCCTTCAGTCATCCTCCTACCCCTACCATCCCCGCCCTCCATGCCTCTTGATCCCAACCACCAGCTCGGGTGCGAATCCCTGACTCTCGAGCACCTTGGGACGTCCTCCTGACGTGAATGGCGCTATACAAGTGTAAGTTGTTGTTGTCAAAACCCCTAATAATTCAACAGAAACCTCTATTATATCTCCTCAGCCTTCTCTGGTTTTAGGGAAAACAGCCCCAGTTTCTCCCAATCTTCCCTCCTAAGTAAAACTTAATTTTTGGGGAATCAGCAAGGGAACGGAAACCCATCACCATTGCTTAAGAGTCTCCAAACCAAACTGAGAATTCCATATATCCCACCTACACATGGAGATAGATTGTTGGAATGGAATGCACACTTTCTCTCTCTCTCTCTCTCTCTTTCCCTGGAGAGACGCATCCTGCTTACCTAATTCCGGAAAGTATTAGGGACAGGTTCGCGAGAGCCAAAAGAAAAAGTAAAACCTATTTTGGCACTTCTGAAGCGTTTATAGAATTAAACCAATTGAGCCTAAATTAGTGCTCGCTCATCCACTAGAGCTAACTACTCTAATCTCCATTCCATGTTTTTTCCCTGTGCCCTTTAATATTCTCCCTCTCTGGCTGTTTGTTGGGGACACTACTATGCACAAATTGATTGCTGAATTTGCCTAAGAAGTCACTGCACTTTTCTGTGAAGCGCTTTGAGACGTCCCAACGGTGTGATAATGTGCTATATCAAATGTAAGAATTATTTATTTATTGTCATTTTTTTTACAGTGCATTCTTTGAAGCACTCTGAAAGGCATCCCAATGCGAAAGACCCTATATCGAATGCAAAGATTATTTTTTTTGAATTAAATCTCTAGCAAGGAAGTTGCTCGTCTCCAGAGATCATTTGGGGAGAGATGTAGTTTTAATGTCTGTCTGTTTCAGTTGTGCTTCTGCTTTAGAAGTGTGTGTGGGTGTGTGTGGGTAGATGGGTGGTTGGGGCAAGTTCAAGGCCCATTCCTCTTAGATCCCCCTTTTCCCTTTGCTGTTCCAGTGAATAAATGTCACGTGCTGATCTCTGTTCCCTCTCTCAGATACTGTTGGGCTGCACAGAGTGGAAAATGCCAGCCACACAGAGACTGCAATCAGCCTGCATCTGTACAGTCCCCCATTCAACAGCTGCCGCTGTTTTGATGAACGAACCGGTCACCAAAACCAAGTTAAATTGACTTTCTGGAGCAAATTTGGTGAGAGGACTCCTTTTGTAAGTGTTAACGATAGAGCGACCAGAGGCTACCACAAGACCAGAAATTTGTGTTTGATGTACATAATCCCTCCAAAAAACCCAAAACAATAATAAATTGGTCATTTTCAATCTACGACTGTTTGTGGGACATTGCTGTGCGCAATTGGCTGCCGCGTTCGCCCACAAATATACAGTCAATTCACTTTACAATGTGTTCTGTGAAGCGCTTTTGGGACGTCCTCCCGACGTGAAAAGCGCTATATCAAATGCAAGGATTATTATTATTATACACACATACATGCACACACACACACCCACACACTATACCTGGCTCCCAATCCAATCCCACATTTCTGATTCCCACTTCCAGCTCAAGACAACTCACTCACTCTCAGCCAAATCCAATATTCCTTGCTCCCACTCCCAAGCCAATCAGACAGTCCTGGCTCCCAACCTAATTTGTCGTTCCTGATTTCCCCCTCCCAGCCCAATCTCACATTCCTAGTTCCAATTCCCAGCCCAACCTCTCAATTAGACCCAAGGGCTTAACTCTGGCTTTGAACCGAACAAAGCATTCATGATTCCCACTTTCACCCCTTGTGTTCCTGACTCTAGGGTAAGTGTATAAGTCCTGTAGTATACTGGTTACAACACACTTTTCACGAGTGCAAAGACCTGGGTTCAATTCCCAGGCAGGGCGAAACCTTAGGCAAGTTTGCTTACTCTACACGCCCCTAGCAGTAAGTAGGAACTCGATTGGTGGATTGCTTTCCGTGGGTAATAATCCCTTCAAAAATAAACACAATAATAGTAATTTGGTCACTCAATCCATGACTGTTTGTGGGACACTACTGTGCACAATTAGCTGCTGTGTTTCACCCACAAAATATACAGTCAATTCACTTCACAGTATATTCTGTGAAGCGCTTTGAGATGTCTCAATGACATGATAAGATGTTATATCAAATGTAAGTATTATTATAATGCCACTGAAGTGATCATTGCTAAATATCTGGGTCCATGGATTGTAATACAGAAATAGTCATAGAGAGTGAGATTGACAGTGCAGAGGGAGTTTTTTCTGTATCTAACCTGTGCTGTGCCTGACCTGGGAGTGTTGGATGGACAGTATAGAGGGTGGGGTGGGGGGGGTTACTCTGTGTCTAACCCTTGCAGAGGCAGACTTTGGAGTCCTGCAGACTGAAAATTATATCAGTGACTAATATGGTAAAAACAAGTTCCATCGCCCAACTGGCATTTCTCACTTTAAATTAAACAAACGTCCTGTGTTAGCATATGATCATAATTGAATCTTTTCATTTTCTTTTAGGAAACTTTCACTTCAAACGAAAACAACTGAAGCAGGTAATGGGCGGTGAACAGCAGGGAGTGGCGACCCAAACCTCTTTATCTCAGATTGCTGTGAGGTGAAACTGCTGGAACTTTGCTTTTAAGCTGAACTGCCAAAAGTGATGAAGAAACATCCAGATCTTTTCTGAAATGAAAGAACCATTTTGTCTTCTCGTGTTTACTTCCACCCCTCCCCCCCAATTTCGCCCACGAAATACGGTCACTACACTTTACAGTATGTTCTGTGAAGCTCTTTGAGACGTCTCAACAATGTGATAAAGTGCTACATCAAATGTAAGGATTATTATTATTAACTTCTTCTTATGTGCTAGGTATGGTTCTGCAGGTACTAGCTATCCTCTTCTTACTCAAAAGTCGATGTGCGTCCATTTCAGCTTTGAATAGTGTTCAGAAGCTGGAAGTCTGGCTGATTTTTTTCCCCCCGGTAGCAAAAGCCCTACTGACACCCCAGCCTGATATCCGCTAGCTCAACGCAAACCTGGATTCAAGTCTGTTTCCCAATCCATAAGGCCTTGTTTCGCACCCTGCAGGTGTAGCTCTGTGACCCTATGATCCCCACCCTTCACTGGCTCCCCATCTCCCAGAAGAGTTCAAATCCTCGTCCTTGCCTTCTGAAGTCCTCCGTGTCTTGCTCCTTCCTTTAGCCTCTCTGCCCCACCTTTTGGAACTACAACCCACAGTGCCTTCACCTTACACCCTCCCTTGCTTCCTTCAAGGCCTGTCTCAAGACCCTCCTCTTTGACTGGATCTCCGGTCACCCTCTTACATCTGCTCTCCCTGCTCTCCACCCTTTCTGATCCCAAACCCCTTCTCCGGTCCAAATCCCTGATGTCCAGCACCTTGGGATATCCTCCCGATGTGAAAGGCCCTATACAAATGTAATATGTTGTTGTTGTAGCAGCATTTACCTGAGAATCCACTGGAGGAACCACTGCCTACCCCTCTTTGCAAGATTTTATCAATAAATACATGACACCTGGACATTTAATTTTACCGGATAATTTCCCCAGTTTGTGTATCTCCATTCAAATGGGTTTCTTCAGCTCTGTTTAGGATAGAATTTTTTGAAATGCTTCTAATTCAGATTTTGCTTCTGTACTGTAAGGGCCATCTCAGCCAATGCTCCCTGGCAGCCAGTTACACAACGCGTTCCCGTGAGGTTTTCTTTGCTTAGATGATAGACATCTCTGTGTTCTCTGTATACTTTCCGTCAGGCAATACTCTGGCCATTTCCTTACAATGACGTTCGTTCTGTTTGGCAGATACTTTCTCATTCACTGTCCAGGAGAATGGACAGTGAAAATGTGTACTCTCTTTACTCTGTCACTCATCAGAACGGCAATTTTCAATATAAAATGCAGCAGCAATAAAGTTTATACCTATTTTGTCAAATCTTGGTCATTGCTTTGTAGTGTGGTTCTGCGTTTCTTTCCCTTTCCACCTCTCGTGCGAGTGTTTTGACTCCTTTTTACTCCCGTGAACAACCTTCGATACCTCTCCTAAGCTGCTGATATTTGAGCACATGGTCTAGGCTGACGCTCCAGTGCAGTGCTGGGGGAGCACTGCATTATTGGAGGTGCTGTCCTTTTGGATGAGATGTTAAAGCCAGGTCCTGACTGCCTGCCTTTAACACATGTTAAAGAACACATGGCACAATTCAAAATGAGAATTTCAAATTTCAGTTTCTAAAAACTTACCTCTTTCCTTGTGCCTGAGGTCATGTCCCTCATACTTCCCTCCACCCCCACACCAAATCTGTATAGCTTACCATTGATATTGCTGTCTGACAAGCTTTCCTTCTGCTCGACCAGCTAGGACCACCCTACCCGTTAGGTCTTTGGCTAACAGAGTTAACAAGAGCTGAGTGGAATGATTCCCTGCCCCCAGTAACTGGTCTGCCCTTCCAAGTCTTAAGCCAGACAAAGCTTTAAGATATTATCCAACGTGAATTGGCACTATTAGAAATGCAGAATATTGTTGTGTGCGCCTTTGACGATTGTGGCAGGCTGTTCTACCAAGGAAATGTTCATAGGGAAATTGATCTCATCCTAACAGAAATTGTCTTCCTACTCCCCTCTCTCCCTCCTTCTAAAAACATGCCAAAACACCCAGTTCCTTTAAACTTTGATTACCATTGAAAAGTATTGTAAGGTTTTAATGTGAACAGACCTTGAAAGTTCACAATGAAAGAAGAACTCTTATTCAACACATAAATGCCTCAACAAAACCGTTTCTCCCAATAGGTCTGAGACAAATTGGGCAGAAATTTCTGTGAAACATGTAGAAGCAGACAGGTTCGTATTGAAACTTGGTAAAAATTCTCTTTCTATTCATTCATTTTGAAGGTCAAGCCGGAGATGATGTGTTTGCAAGGAATGAACTGGATGTCAGAAAGATTTGTACATTCTTAGCACACTGCTAACAACAACAACAAAATGACAGTTATGGAGCGCCTTTCATGTCGGGAGGACGTCCCAAAGCACTGAAATGCCAAGGTTTTGGTGAATTTATAGATAGACAGACGAGTGGAGAGATGGTTTGAACTACTGTCCTTAATAATACCTTAGTTTTTAAATGCAACATTTCAGACTTATTAAGGGAGTTTTTGTAATTTGTTCGCAATGACATCATACTTTCCTGAAGATGCTTGATTCCTTTATTCGTGAAGTCCTGTAGAGTGTTGGTTAGAGCTCTCGCATCGTAAGCAAGAGACCTGGGTTTGATTCCCGGGCAGGGCGAAACCTTAGGCAACTTTCCTTACTCCACATGCCTCTGTTTACCTCCTTCAAAAAAATAAAATAATAGTAATAATTTGGTCACTCAATGCATGCCTGTGGGACACTGCTGTGCGTAATTGGCTGCCACAAAATATACAGTCAATTCACTTTACAGTATATTTTGTGAAACACTTTGAGATGTCTTAACGATGTGATAAGGCTCTACATCAAATTCAAGGATTATTTATTATTTATTTGCACTTCCAGAATGGTCGTTCTTCACATCTGTGTCAGCTGCCTTTTTATCCAATTGTCCACCTAATCTGTTTCCAGCCAATGTCCATCCTTGAATTTTCTGGCAGAGGTCACTTAACAGTGATCAGCAGCAAGGAACCTTGCGGGGTCTCAATAAGCCAATGCAGTGCTTACTGATCTTGGCTAACTTTTGACCTCACCCATTTGCCCAAAAGTGTAGGCACCAATTGTGTGTAGGCACCCCTTAAATTGTCACGCTGGCTAAGATCAGCTAATTCAGCACTGAACCTGAGGCATTCCTGATAACTATGCAGCTCATTTACCAATTATTAATTACAGAGCCATAGGAAACCAAGGCACTAGTGTTTAATGGTGCAGTGTTGAAAATTAGCACTCCAAAAGGCTCCCAGCATAGCTGCAATATTTTCCCAAACGAAGGAAGGAGAACCCAGCAGACGAATTAACCCATTATTGGGAAGGCCTATATCTTTTATGGAGGATTCACTGTGGACCTGCAAATACTCGGTAAATAAAAGCTTCGCACAATGTTGTGCAGAGTTTTACAGAAAAGGCAAGTTCTCAGGTTCCAATCGCAGGAGGTTCTGTGAAGCGCTTTGATTCCATGTGCAGGGTCCTGAATTAATTACAAGTTGTTGTTTTTTAATAGTAAGCATTGAGCAAAAAAAATTCACCAATTTTAATGGAAAAGAGTTGCTGTGCGCAATTGACTGCCGTGTTTCACTCACAAAATATACAGTCACTCCACTTTACGGTATATCCTGTGAAGTGCTTTGAGACGTCGCAACAATGCGATAAAGCGCTATATCAAAATTCAAGGATTATTAATATTATAAAAGCATGAGTTGGATCCTCCAGTGTCCGCATACCCCCAGACTCGGACAAAGGCTCAGACCTACGTTACAGCTCTATCAGAAACTTAATTTGGTATTGAATAACAATGTTAAACGAAAAGAGCCACATTGCCCTCTGGAGGCAGAACAGCAAAGCTTTTAGGACCAATGCAATTCCAATTTGTTTTATTATATTCAATCTATGCCAATTGTCTCTCTTTTTTTTCCTTAAGGTGTTTACTCCTTTTCCTTTTGTTGGGATATTGTGCCACATTGCATCTTCCGGCCCTTCATCAAAAACAACAGCTTGCATTTGTATAGCACCCTTCACACAGAGCGATGTCTCGAGCACTTTTATCAACGGCCCATATTTGTGAGCCTTGACAGTGATCATTGGATAGGTGTACAACTTTTGGGTTAGGAGACCACAGCCAAAGCTTTCTCCTCATATCCAAACATATGTATTACAAACGTCTAACGAGATTTTTAACAAAAAAAAAGTGGTCACTCAATCCACAACTGTTTGCAGGACACTGCTGTGCGCAATTAGTTATCACGTGAAGCGCTTTGAGACGTCTCAATGATGTAATAAGGCGCGATATCAAATGCAAGGTTTTGCCCAAAGTTAACCAAACATTAGTCCGAAACGTTGCCCAATATTATGCCACTGCGGGTAGAGTAGCGCGGACTGGCTAAGTGGCTAATTTAGGTCAGTGCTTTTGAAACAGTGTAAGAAAAGGTCTTCAAAAGTGGGGAGGAGGAAGGAAAAAAAAAGTTTTGCGGGTTTAAATTTACATTTTTGCAAAAGAACATAATCCCTCCAAAGCAAAACGATAATAAATTGGCCGTTTTCAATCCACGGCTGTTTGTGGGGGACATTGCTGTGCGCCATTGGCTGCCGCGTTTCGCCCACAAATATACCGCCAATTCACTTTACAGTCTGTTCTGTGAAGCGCTTTGAGACGCGGAGAAGACGTGATCAGCTCAGGCCCTGTATCAAATGCAAAGACTGTTGTTATTATTATTATTATCCATTCCATCCATTCCTTTTCACGTGAAGTGTGTGTGTGTAAAAAAAAACCGCCCGATTGGGCGTGAAACCGCCCAACCCAGGCTCGGCCAGAGGGAATCGCGCCTCTGGCCCGCGGGCGACCCGCGACACGTGACCGCCGTGGCGCGCGGCATTTCGGGAGTTGTAGTGCCGAGCCCTGAACCACGTGGGCGGGAGGGGGGGTGGTGGTGGTGGGGGGGAGGAAGCGCAGGTTTTTTTTTAAAAAAAAACGAACTACAAGTCCCACAATGCCCTGGTGGTGGTGGTGGTGCCCCGCGAGAAGACGAGCGCGTGCGCAGTCGTGTTCTCTCTACCTCTCCAGACCACCACGCCCCGCCCCCCACCCGCTCGCGCATGCTCACAACTCCCTTCCTCCTCCCTCCTCCTCCTCCTCCTATTCCCGACGTCCATTTTATTTTATTTTCGGAAAACCGTCATCATCATCATCGCCGTCAGCGTCAAAGGGGAGGAGTGTGTGTGCGCGCGCGCGTGTGTGTGTGTGGGGGGGTTGTTGTTTTGTGTGTGTGTGTGTGTGTGTGAGGGGGGGGTCGTTGGCGGTCACCATCAAAAGGGGGGGGTCGGGGGGGGGAGAGAGAGAGAGAGAGAGGAGAGAAAAAAAAATGCCACGTTTTCAGACCGGCGGCGGCGGCAGCGGCGGCGCCGCCTCCTCCCGAGCCTGGCGGCGCGCGCTGTAAATGGCGGCCTGCGAGGGCCCGACATGGATATCAAGACGGCGGTGTTCAACGCGGCCCGCGACGGCAAACTGCGCCTCATGCAGCGGCTGCTGAGCAACCGCAGCGCCGAGGAGCTGGAGGCCCTGACGCTCGGCCGCACCAACGGCGGCACGCCGCTGCTCATCGCCTCGCGCCACGGCCACCTGCCGGTCGTCGACTACCTGGTGGAGCAGTGCCGGGCCGAGGTGGAGCTGGGCGGCTCGGTCAGCTTCGACGGCGAGACCATCGAGGGGGCCCCGCCGCTGTGGGCGGCCTCGGCGGCCGGGCACCTGGCCGTGGTGCGGAGCCTGCTGCAGCACGGCGCCTCGGTCAACAACACCACGCTGACCAACTCCACCCCCCTGCGGGCCGCCTGCTTCGACGGCCACCTGGAGATCGTCAAGTACCTGATCGAGCACCGGGCCGACCTGGAGGTGGCCAACCGGCACGGCCACACCTGCCTGATGATCTCCTGCTACAAGGGCCACCGGGACATCGCCAGGTGCGGTGCGGTCCTAGTGCGGTTCAATCATCATCTTCATCATCATCATCATCTATAATAACATTAGTGATGATCCGACCGGTTACTCCGCGCTCCCGAGACGCGAAGGGGCGCTGCGAAGCGCGACCCCCCCCCCGGGGCTTTGCCGCGGCGTGAATTTGACCCGAGGCTTTTGTCCGTGGGCGGGACGCGGCAGCCGGTGGCGCCCGGCGGCCGCCCGCGGGCAGTCGCGGATTGAGTCCGCGTGTCGTCGTCGTCGTCGGGGTTTTATTTTTCTGAAGGGGATTGTGACGCCGCCGCCTCCCCCGCACCCCTCCCCGGAAAAGCAATCTAATAATCCTTGCATTTGACACAGCGCCTAATCGCGTCGTCGAGACGTCTCAAAGCGCTTCGCAGTACATCCGCCCCCAGACACCGTCCGACGTGAAAGGCGCAATGTCGCTGTGGCGCAAGTTGTTGTGGTGGTTGAATATACTGTAAAGTGAATTAAATGCATCTTCACAGAATATACTCTAAAGTGAATGGAAATGATATCTCAGAATACAGCACTTGTTATGCGACAGGTGGGTGGAAGGTGAACTGGGTGGACCTTGGTCTTCTTTCACCTGGCAAATTCTTATGTTCTTACGTTCTAGGTACCTGTTGGAGAAAGGGGCCGACGTGAATCGCAAGAGTGTGAAAGGCAACACGGCCCTGCATGACTGTGCTGAGTCCGGGAGCCTGGACATCATGAAGATGCTGCTCAAGTGCGGGGCTAGGATGGAAAAGGACGGCTATGGGATGACTCCCTTACTGGCCGCTAGCGTCACTGGCCATGTTAACATCGTCGATTTCCTCATCCACTATGTGCAGACCAGGAAAGAGGACAGGATCGACGCACTGGAGTTGCTAGGGGCCACCTTTGTGGACAAGAAGAGAGACTTGTTGGCTGCCATGAAGTTTTGGAAGAGGGCGATGGCCATGAGGCACAATGATAAAAGTAGAATAGTCGAGAAACCACAGGTGGTACAGCTGGTCCTGGCCTACGATTATGCCAAGGAGGTCACTACATCTGAAGAGCTGGAAGCCTTGATCACGGACCCAGATGAGATGAGGATGCAAGCCTTGCTGATCAGAGAGCGAATCCTGGGGCCTTCCCACCCTGACACCTCTTACTACATCCGTTATCGGGGTGCAGTCTATGCCGACTCCGGCAACTTTGAAAGATGCATCAATTTGTGGAAGTACGCTTTGGATATGCAGCAGAACAACTTGGACCCACTAAGCCCCTTGACCGCCAGTAGTTTGCTATCATTCGCAGAGCTCTTTTCATTTGTCCTGCAAAACCGCCCAAAAGGCACCCTGGCCATGAAGGTCTCTTTCAACGATCTCATGGGCATCTTATGCAAAAGTGTTCGTGAAGTCGAGCGGGCAGTTAGTCAGCGGGAAAACCCACCAGACGTTACACAGTTCACAAAAGCTTTGTCCATTATTTTGCACTTGATCTCTCTGTTAGAAAAGGTGAAATGCAGCGCTGACCAGGAGCATTTTAAGAAGCAAACCATATACAGGCTCTTGAAGTTGAACCCAAGGGGAAGTGTGGGTTTACCCCACTCCATCTAGCTGTCGACAAGGACACAACATCTGTCGGTCGCTATCCAGTTTGCAAGTTTCCTTCGTTGCAAGTGACTTCCGTACTGCTGGAGTGCGGGGCTGACGTCGATTCAAGAGATTACGAGAACAACACACCCCTCCATGTTGCGGCCCTCAACAACAATCTTGATATTATGAACATGCTTATCGAGTCAGGGGCCCATTTCGATGCTACAAATTCTTCTGGGAAAACCGCTTGGGACTTGCTGGATGAGAAGATGATGGTGAAGAATCTGATTCAGCCCATCAACCACATCACCCTTCAGTGCCTTGCCGCTCGAGCCATTGAGAAACACAAGGTGATTTACAAAGGACTAATTCCAGAGGAGCTGGATGCTTTCATTCAACTACACTGAAGTGCAAGAACAAGTGTTCACGAATGCACATGCATGCCAAGGGAATTCTCATGGGGAATTAACAACTTGTAATGACATATAAATAAATATGACAGAGACACTAAATGAGATTAGATTCTGCAGTTTCATCACTCTGCCTTGCCTCCTGAAGGGCTATGTAATGTAATGGGGGCTAAGATTGAACAAAGTCAGACAAAATTACAATTTGTTTTGTGAAATATGCGTTGGTTACCGCATGTATTGTTTACAGCATTGGAGCAGGAATTGAATAGTGGATGGGTGGGGAGGAGGGGTTGGGGTAAAAGGAACAAGTTCAGGTAAGGGCCGTTGGTACTGAATGTAAGAGAATAATTAACACTCTGTGGACTTTTTAAAAAAATCTTGCACTTCCCACAACTTAAGTTTTCTTCCTCCACATGGCTCCCAGCTTAACAACCCTGTCTGTCTCTGACTCGCAGCATGTGTCAGAATGCATTCATGAAGTTCAAGATTTCTGTTCTGTTGCATTACAAGCACTCAAATATGGTGGCCTCTTATTTTATAAGCACAAATAGTCTGTAAGTGAGCACTTCTGCTACTCCATGTTGGGCTTCACATGGTTGACAATGATGGGTCACTTTAAAGGTCTTTTTCCATTCATACCAGACAGAATTGATCGATTTGAGTAAAATTAGATTTAAATTCTCTTTGCTTTTTATTCCAAGAACCTCACCTTTCAGCACTTTACCGATCAGCTTGATGTTTTGAACAAATGCTTGGGTAACATCGTCACTTGATAAAGTTGAGCCTATTTGAGGAGACATCTTGTTAATATCACAGTGGGTTGGTATGGGGGATGGTGAGGCTGGTCGGAGGAGTAAAGAGGTGAAGCCTCCACATTTAACGTGAAGTTTGGTATATAAATCCCATTTTGATACCATGTTTTGCACTAATATTATTATAACAGCGGTTATGTATGTGCAGAAGTGATTTATAAAGATGTTTTCACCAAATGTGTTGGATAATACTTTTCCTCCCCAACCGAGTTTGTTAGAGGGTATGTCGGGCTTTGTGTATTCCTTTCACCATGGCTGACAGATGGTGTCCTTGTGTTTATCTTTGCCTTTCAGAGTCTTTAAGTACCTTTTTCCCCCAGAAACCCTCCACAGAAATATCTTTTCTAGGAGTCCAGAAGCAATTGATTAAGAAGGTAATTTGAAAGAGGCTGGTTTGTTGCAGTTTCCCTTCAATACTGTCACGTCACTTGGGAAATCGGGTTTCAGTCAGGCCAGTTATTTTGTTATTTCATCTTTGATTAGATTCCATCCCATTTTTTTAAAATGTAAAACTTTCATTGAAAATTTGGGAGTTGCCTCTTTTGAGGGTTTGACTCACATGGTCCCTTTTTGATCGGTTTTCTATTTTAGTGCAAGAGGACAGAGAGAATGTTCTGGAGGACAAACAACCGTATTGTAACAAGATGAGCCAATTTGGGTACAGTATTGGACTGCTATTCCCTCGCACATAAATTGTTTAATACTCTTTTATTTTCTCTCCCCCCCCCCCACCTCCTCACACACACACATCTTTGAAGTCTGTGTTGAAGTCTTGCAAATAAGTCAAAAGCCAAGAATATATGAACTGTGAAGTATCTGTAGGAAGCAACAGAGTGGTGTCTGATCACAGTAATATTATATGTTGATTAGGATGCAGAGTCCTGTAACTAAAAGGTGGCCCAACACAATATGTTAACCTGCAATGCTTAGATACACAGATTGGTAGAATTCTGCTTAAGACAAGTTCTTTCGGAGTGAATCATAAAAGGTAAAAAAGTGCTCAGAGTGAGTATTGCAGCAGTTATTTTGCTGAAATGAGGCATGGTTTAATCCGTTGACTGCTAAATGTCATTTATGGCTTCCATTACAAGCACGTTTTCTTTTAGCAGCACTATATCTGGCAAAAAAAATGTATCTAGTACATTTTTAACATGGAATATTCTAAGTATGATTTTATATGCCTGCTGAGCCATGGAACATTTCTTAAGCCACAGTATTCTCTGGATAAGCAGGGGAAAAAGTATTTTTATGGTGTAGAAATGCAACTGCAGTCCTCATGGGGTTAAAGGATGGCAGAGATTTTAAACCCTGTTGTAAATATTGTGGCCATTCTGGACACTACTTATGTATAGATCTAATTGTTTTAATTGCACGACTTTTTCAAAAAAGGTTTCCCCCTGAGTAATTTACAGCTCAGCTCTGTGTTACTGCATGTTTGCACAGAAGTTGTAACGACTGATTTTTTTTCCCTAAAGCTTCATAAATTATTTTGCTTTTAAGACTTTTACAATTCAGAGTTGATGCTTGATTGTCTGACTTGGAGAGTATTAAACACAACCTTATTGCTGCATTGCAGTTGTGTGACTTGGGTGATTCTTTTTATATAAAAAAAGTAGAATGTGACTAATCATTCAAGTTTCTGTTAAATAGAAGAGAGCTAATGCTCAAAAGATGTGTAAAACTTTTTCACCAGCATGTTTGTGGGACACTGCTGAGCGGAAATTGGCTGCCGAGTTCACAAATACTGTGAAGTGCTTTGAGATGTCTTGATGATGTGATAAGAGGCCATATCAACGCAAGGATGATTTATTAAAAGATGGAAGATTATTACCTCACCTCAGTCCAAAGACTTCTCCAGTGCTGTGAGGAAGTCATTGCAATTGGTCTTCCACCATATTTTGAAATGACTTCAATGACGTTATGTTTTACATTGGGCAAAAGCTTGTTCCTCATGGAGAGAATGTACATGTCTATATGCAGAAACTGTCTGAATGAATCACATCCCACCACTCAGTCACCATCCGTTGCTGTCTCAAACCACTAAGCCACCAGAATTGACTGAATATTTTGACTCCAGATTGCAAAAATATGGGATCAAAATATTTTTTAAATGAGTTCAAAATCATTAAAAGTAATTAATTCCATAGAAATTATGCCAACAGTCTGTTTCAGTATTTTAATGTTTCATGAATTTGGTAAATAGCTGTTCTATCCATTAATTCTTTCTTTACATTCACAACTTCTTCTATTCCATTCAACAGCACAGTATGCAGTGAAACCAGTCTATAAATGACCACTTCTGCTACTCCATGTTGGGCTTCACATGGGGCTGAACCATCCGACTGGTCACTTTAAAAGTCTTTCCATTCATATATGGGGAGAAATTCTACCTTGGTTAAGACTATTCTGTGTAGCGTTTCAGAATAGGCAGAGACTGGCAAATTGTTGAACACAAAAGTCTTAACATTTAAGTGTTTTTCCTGAGATTCTTAAAAGAACTCACAGCCCACCAACAAATAACCCAAACTGACTCCAAAGTTAAGACTGAATTCACCAAACTGCAATGTCTGAATTGCTTCATAAATAAGTCTAGACCCAGGTGAAATTTCTTCTGAAAGGTCTTTAAAAAGTGGTTTCACTGCATTATGACTCCATATCAAACATCAGCAATGGATTGGGTTAGAAGATCTACACACGAGCCAAACTAACCCATAAAACAAAAACATTTGTAATAATTAAAACATCAGTAATGAAAGGAAAGATTCCAATGATCTTTAAAAAAAATTCACTGGGGTTGAAAATGCGACATTTGCAAACCAAACTCTGGCTTCTATTAATTTGCGAATACTGAATTATGACATTTGCAAAATAAATTGCAAACTAGCAAAATCCAAATAAAGCCCAGTGTAAACAAATCCAATTTGCAAATATTGCATTTTTTAACCTGTTGAGTAGCTCGGAATTGTATTTAAACTAACCATATCAAAAACAGTCTGTAACGAAATTACCAATTTGTTCTGTCAGTTAAAAGTATTTGTAAAGAGATAGGCGGGTTTATTTTACCTAGAGATTGGTTCCCACTCCCAATTGGTAAATGACAGAAATACAACATGGCAGTGAAATACATTTCATCCTAAACTGATTAACTTTCACGCACATCATTTGGGGATTCAGAGGGGCGTTTAAAAGGGAAGTGATTGGAATCTGATGTGGGCAGCAAAGCCTGGAGTGAGCAAAATCCCAGGAAGATACCATCTTGAATCCTAGTCTGTGATGAATTGGGTGATAGTTTCTGGGGCAGCTGCAAGAACAAGATGACTTTGTGATGAGCGACAACACCAACTACTTGCAATGATATAGCACCCCCTCACGCAGGGCAATATAATAATACTTGCATTGATATAGCGTTGAGACACTTCAAAGCTCTGCACACCATATACTGTAAAGTGGATTGACTGCCAATATTTTGTGGGAGAAGCACGGCAGCCAATTGCGCACAGCAGTGTCCCACAAACAGTCTTGAATGACCAAATTATTGTTTTTTGGAGGGATTATTACCCCCGAAAAGTGATCAGCCTATTGACTGACAACCGGATTCCATTCCAGTGCAGCGACCAGGGGAAGAAAAACACTTTTCCTTCCCAAGCCATGGGCACTTCGGGTAATTGTGGCATCACAACTGTTAATCCAGCAGGGTAACAGGGACTGAACCCGGGATCTTGAGCCCTATATGTCTCAGTTCTGCACTGGTTAGTGTCTTTCAACACCTGAGGACATCAGGTGTTTTGGAAAATATTTGGGGAGAATTTCCACCTGATTTAACTTCGGTGCATTTTCTTGGTATTTCAGAGTTTGCAGATTTATCATTAAATATTTATGAAACCGGTTTTTTGCAAGTTGTTTTAAAGAACTACATAAAAATGGCTTCAGGGTTCAGTCTGAATTCAACAATTTGTCAAATTCTGCATGCTCTGAAATGCTAAGAAAGTCGAGTAAATTTAAAGCCAGGTGATGTTTTGCCCACAAAATACATAGTCAATCCACTTTAACGATATATCCTGTGAAGCACTTTGAGATGTCTCAACGGTGTGATAAGGAGCTGTATCAAATGCAAGGATTATTATTTTTGCTTCACCATTTAGAGATATTTTGGCCAGGGCAAAACCTTGGGCAAGTTTCCTTACTCCACACGCCTGATAATAATCCCTCAAGAAAAAAAATAATAATGGTCACTTCAATCCATGACTGTTTGTGGGGCACAAACTGTTTGTGGGACATTGCTGTGCGCAATTGGCTGCCGCATTTCGCCCACAAATATACAGTCAATTCACTTTACAGTATGTTCTGTGAAGCGCTTTGAGATGTCTAGAAAACATGAAAAGCGCTATATCAAATGCAAGAATTTTTTTTTTAAATCAACTCTCCCAGCTCTGTATCATTCCTGTTCGTCTTCCTTCCCATTTGTCTCAGGACAAAGCTTCAATCAATCTTTGAGTATCACAGACTGATTCTCTTCTGTCTCTCTGCCTTCATCTATAGTATTTTTAATTTCCCCTTGTTTTCCTTCCACCCACTCCCTCTCAGTCCCTCTTAGTGCAAATAGCACAGCTTCAAAAGAACTTCGGGAATGTTAAAAACACCAGACAGGATGTAGGACATTAAGCTACTGCAAACCCAGGCTTAATAAAAAGCACAGATTAATCACTGATCAAAGATCTCCAATAGCTAAACCCACAAATATGTTCAAGTGCAGTTTAGAATAGTTTTTTTTAACTCACTCTAATAGTGCAACAGCGCTGAACACATGGCCATCACAGTTATCAATTGAGGTCTAATTGGAGAGATTTGCAAAATGGATGTGTTGAAGATAATGTGCTAATAATCACAAAGGGAAATCGCAAGCTAGAGAGTGGGTGACTCCTAGTAAAGACGGGTCTCTTTGACCGTGCCTTCAGCTCCCCTCTCGACTCTCTTCCTCCTCCTCGCTCCCTCCCTTCCCTCCCCTCACCCTGACCATTTCCCCCCTCCTCGCTCCCTCCCTTCCCTCCCCTCACCCTGACCATTTCCCCCCTCCTCTCTCCCTCCCTTCCCTCCCCTCACCCTGACCATTTCCCCCCTGCTCGGGTCATGACCCAACTGTGCAGCGCCTTGGGACGTCCTCCTGACGTGAAAGGCGCTCTATAAATGGAATCTTGTTGTTGTTGTTGTTGTAAAACATGGGGACATCATCTTACAATTGGAGCTGAGTTGGTTAGAAGTAAGATCAGAAAAGATTTCTTCACACAGAAGGTTGCCAGGACATGGAACGCCCTGCCCCAGGAAGTTGCCCAGGAAGGATCAATTGGGATATTTAAAAGAGAGATGGACGCTTAGGAAAGGTAGAAAGGTATTGAGAGCAACAACAAAATTCCATTTGTATAGCGCCTTTCGCTTCAGGTGTGCGTCCCAAGGCCCTGGACAACCAGTGTTTCGGACAGAAAAGCAAGGTGGGGCAATGGCGTTAGAAGATATGCATGACCAATAAACTGGTGGAACAGGCTTAATGGCCTGAATGGCTTCCTCCTGTTCCCAAATAGGGAATGCAGGATGGTTGTGGCCAACTTTTGGGCATGTCATTGGAAGTTAAAACTAACATCAGCATCTAAGTAGAGTTCCAGTATCCAGGAACAAAAACAGGAGTCGCTGAGAACATACAGCATCCGTGGAGAGAGGGAGGAAGCATCTATGGAGAGAGTGAGGTGAGTTAACGTTTCAAGTCAATAATCTTTCGTCAGAACTGACCAAAGTTCACTGACCTGAACGTTAACTCATTTTCCTCTCTGTAGATGCTGCCTGACCTGCTGCGTGTTCCCAGCGACTGCTGTTTTTATTTCAGATTTCCAGCATTTGCGGTATTCTGCCTTTACCAGAATCTGCCTTTACCCGATCTGCCAGATTTACAAAAAGGATTTGTAACCAGCGAATTCAAGTCAACTACAACACATCCAAAATCCCCTGGTTAGAAAAATCCTTTTGCTAATCTCGCACATCAGGTCTTGCAATCGTACATCTCCCCTGAATCGTGTGATCCCGCAACTGAATGAGTATGTAAGACACCAGCAGTCTGCCCGCCTCATTGTTCTTACACACGGGTAAAACACAGTAGGCTTATTCCAGGTCTTTAAGCAGGAATATCCTGATGCCACACATTCTCAACATCCTCACCTCCTGCTGCGTGATCTGTTTTACCTATAAATTAGAGGACATAAAAGAGGTTTTGCCATTGCTTAGTTATCACTGTCATCAGCCTCTTCCTCCTCCTCCTCCTCCTCCTCGTCAGTGCTCCCGTCACTTTTTCCCGAATCAGCTATGGTCAACTGGTTGGAGTCTCCTATCTGCACGTTGCTGACGTGGTGAATCTGGATAATGTTGGGGGGCTGGTTTGGGTGCATTGGGGAGTTGTTAATCGTGACACTCTGAGCTCCCTGACCGTTGCTGGGATTAAGGACCTCACGTGGCGTGTGCATATGGGGGTTGAAACCGTATTGCCTCGGATCAGGTGGAAACTGACCTGGGCCCTGAATCCCAAATGGGTATAACATGGGCAGCATCTGTTCATGACCCATTGGAGGTCTCATCTGTCCTGGATAGGGTGAGGGAATTGGGGGCAGATTTGGAAAATTATACAAAGCGTTACAATATTGTCTTAAGGATGCTAAATGTTGTCCTTCTTTCTGGTAGTTTTGCAAATTCTGCCCTAGCTGTTGTGTTAGTCTGGTGATATCTCGGAGATCTTTACGGTCTTTTGCAACTTTAGCCTTTTGGGTTTCAATCTGTTGAAGTTTTTGCTCAACCAACCACTTATCCTTATATGTCCTGAGTTTGGCTGGCTCAAATGTTTTCGCGACATGCCTTTCGAAGTGCTTGGAGGTTTCGTCCAGTTGGTTGATAGCTTGAAGGGCGAAAGGGATCTTGCGTTTGGGCAGCCGGTTTTCTTTTGTCAGCATCGGAATGACCGTGTTGTACTTATGTTTATTTTGGATGGAGTTCATCAACACAATATTGGTCTTGAGCTCCGTCCAGTGCGTGTTAAAGTTGTTTGTCAAAAGAAGGATGGTAAAGGCAGAGTTATCAACTGCGTCTTGGATGCAACTTATGGGAGACTTTCCCGGAAGTGAGAAATCTTCGCAAAACGTTGCCCCCTCCATCACCCCCAATTCCTCAAGTGATTTCCGTACCTTCTCTGCAATCTCTTGGTCTTCATCAGCGTGCAGGATAACAAAGGGGTAAAATTTGTTCTCAACGTTCTCCTCCGTTTCCTCAGAAATGTTCATTCGAGGACGACTGGACTGGGGATCTTCCGATAGGGTTGCATTTTGTGTAGGATGTGGATCGGACAGGTTAGAATTGAGATGATCTTGATCCTGTGTGCTAGTCTTTGAAGTAACTATCTGATTACTGTCTGTCTCTTCAGTGCATTCAATAGGTTTCACTCCAACCGCCGATGAATTTTTAACTGGGGAGTAAGTTGAATACCCCTCCTCAGGCTGAGCTCCTGTACCGGTGGTATTCCTACTATTTGCCGAGTGCTCTTCCCGAGGTAGATTTGATGCCGTGTTATTAATGTGGAACGATGCACTTTGAGATGTGGATGGGACCAATCCACGCTCGGCCGGACCTTTCGCTTTAGATTTGAGGTTGTCCTGAGGTGAACCAGAAAGAAATGGTACAGTGGATGTTGCACTAATTTCAAAGTGACTGGGCAGCGTGATTTGCTTAACTCCTGAAGATATCATGGGGTCAGTTGACGTCCGATTGCGCACAGTCTCGACTCTGCTTCTGCAGTCGCTGCCTGATCTTGTACTTAAGCTATTTTCATCCAGCGACTTTAGAAACGGTCTGTTAGCATCTTCCCCTTTGGAGTTAAAGTCCCGACAACCACATTGTCTTCTGGATTCATCCAGTAGATCCCAGAATTCCACGCTGTCGATCTGACCGCTCGATCGATAGCTGTGGACAGCAGCACGATATGCCCGGTCTTTCACAGAGGACTCACACAGATTTTCCTGCGAGAGGACCGTGAAGATCCGAGCGAGATCCACGCGGACCGCAAGATCTTCGGGGGTCAAATTGTCCCACCCGAATTTGGAATTTGCTCCTTGTTCCGTACCTTGGATTTTGTTCAGGATGTAGACAGCAGATTGGCACTTCTGTTCCTTGTCGTCAGACACCAAAAGCACCGCCTTCTCCTTCTCGTTTAAGAAGAACAACACGGCGCTGTAAAGCAGACGGTCGATCTTTCGGTCAACCGGTAGTTTGTACTTGAGGCTCATCAGCCTTTCCTGTGGCGTTTTGGACAAGATGTCAAACATGTCCTCAAAATAGGGAGCTGGATCACTCTCGCTCGCCATGGTCGGCAGTGTAGCTGTGTCTCAGCACCAGAGAGCTCACAAAAGGCCTTCAGTTAGCGTGAATCAGCATGGCTTCCCATTGCCCAGCTGGTTTGTGAAGGGCAAGACTCTTTCTACGGTGCACTTTGCCAAGTGTGCAGTTGTCTGCCCGCAAATTCATTCTTCATTATGTAATAGGAGGTTTGAACACCGAGAGTCAATTCATTTGATCATATCTCGCTGGGCTTCATGGTCTGAACTGCAACAATGAAGAGATATCTGGGTTATTCTACTTGCGTTGTTGAAGGTACTGTCCTTCAGATTAGGACCATCTTACTCTGACCTCTTTTGAGCCTCTTAACCTCTCCCCCATGACATAAGTGCCCAGACAGCTGTGTAAAGCGCTTTGAGATGACCTCCTGAAGTGAAAGGGAGTTTCTCCCGAATTCTTGATCAACAATCCACAGATAAAATTGGCCCTTCATTTCATGGCTGTTTGTCACACATTGCTGCGCTCAAATTGGCTGTCGTATTGACCTACAAGATACACAGACACTTTGTATTACAGTAAATCATGTGAGGTGCTTTGAAACATCCTCCAGACATGAAAAGTGCTACGTCAAATGCAAGGATTATTATTAGAGACCCATCTTCCTGCTAGGAAGTGAAAGCGTGTTGATGATAGGTAAGGGCAGGAATGTGTTTCGATTTGATCTTCCCCCTGCCCGTCCCACCAATTGCCTGGAGGATAGATGCACTTCCTAGTGTGCAGCACTAACCCAAACAGATCAGGGAGTTAGGAACACAATACTGGTGTTTACCTGTTGTGTGCACGAAGACAGCATTGGACTTAGACCTGATGCCCTCTGCGTTCAATTAGCCTGCGGGCATTCAGTAAGCATTGGCCCTTGGACATGGTACCAACAACAACAACTTGCATTTATATAGTGCATCCCAGAGTGATACTTACCAGAGGACACACAGTATCTCAGTATGAGTCAGTGACTTCAGGAATGGAGGAAACTACGGAAAGTAAGCCGTGCCACAAATGCTGGCACAGACACCGCTGAACACATAACGAAGTGTTGCTCACTTCCTGTTCTGAACACAAGAAATGCACTGTTCCCATTTTTTGACCCTCAGGTGAGGGCTTCCTCTTTTGAAGGATAATTTTTTGCCTTCTCTCAGGTCTCCCACATTTGGCTAAGGACGACGATTCCTCACGAACCTCACAGTCAATGCTACTTTGGAACCACTAGGAGGTGCATCAGGGCAGCCTAGAGATGAGGCCTCTTCTGAATTGGCCCTCGTTCCTCAAGGAAGTTTATCACATATGCATTTGTAAGAGGCATTAATTTTTAGTATTTTCTGGAAAACACAGATTACAATGCCCTTTGATCCCAGGGGTGAGGAGTTTCCATTATGAAGAGAGACTTTATGCCACTAAGCTACAGGACTCCACAAGATGTTATGAGGAGTTATGATAGGACAAAGAATAATTGATTATTTCCTCTGGTCAAGAAGCCGGTAATGAGTGGGCATCAATCTAACAATAATCACGACAGAACTAAAGGAGAGATTAAACAACATTTCTTTACACAGAGGCTGGTGGAATGTGGAATTCTCTGCCACAAATTATTTCAGGAGAATTAGGAAATGCTTGAAAAGGGGGAATATTAAGGAAGAATATTTAGAGTCCTGTAGCGTACTGGTTAGAGCACTCGCCTCGCAAGCGAGAGGACCTAGGTTTGTTCCCTAATAATAATAATTATTATTAATAATAAAGGGTTTGGGGAGCGAGCATGTGAATAGACGAGGTGGATCAAGTGGAGAAAACAACCAGCGCAGCATTTATGGATCAAATGGCTTGTTTCTGCGCTGTAGCATTCTACACTGACAAACCACGTTAGACCAGGTGTTAAAATGGCAGAGCAAAGTCACAGGTTCAATCCCTGATCAGAGCAGTATTAAGCGATTGTAGTTGGGGCTACCAATGATCTCAATGCCTGTGGGTTTTAGAAGGCGGAGACAACTCTTACACACAGTAAAACAGGAAATAGAACCACCATTCAGACCATCGAGTCTGTTCCACATGTCTTGGATCCTGAAAACTTAATATCTCCCCCTCTTCAATCCTTCACTGCCCCTTCTCAACTCCCACCCCCACCTGAGGTGATCATCTGGCTGACGTTGTGAGATTGCAGAAAAAATCTTTTATACCTAGGAATAATTTTATACCTTTTAACCAACTATTAGATGAACAGAAAGCAAGTCCTGGGAAATGTGGCAGACTCGGCAATGCCAGCTCCATCCTTATCTGGGCATTTCACAGAAGCAGGGAAGCAGTAGCTTCTGCAAACCTTGAAATAAATAAGACATTGTCTGACACAAACAGCATCTGGAGATAAGCTTATGCCTCAAACGTCCCTGAATCATCCTCTTCCTTCAGTATTTCTTACTCTGTGTTATAAGTTTAAAGGTTACATTCTTGTTAGATAGCTTTAGAATATATCTTGTGTAATTTAGACAACGGTATTAATCAGGTACATATTCTATGCCAATTATATTTTCTTGACTCTTAAAAGAATAATAATCAGCACGAATAGAGATTAATTAGTAGACGACATTTAACCTTGTTAAGAGATATGGATTGATTGACATCACCATTCAAATAGTTGTTGGAGCCACATGATTGATAATACTTTTTTAATTGCCTTTGTATATGTTTCAACCTTGAGCACGTTTTGGGGATAAAAAGGCTGCTTTAACTGACCATCGGCAGCTCATTCTTTTGACTATCAGGTGCTCTTCTTGGAGACTGTTGACTGCTCTTGAATCAGCTCTTACAATTGTAATAAAATCTTACTTGTTTGTAAGACGACGGTTGGGACGAACGGGAAAAAAATTACAACTCTACAACGTGAATAGCACCATATAAATATAAACGAATAGCCTTACTATTAATTTACATTTCTACAATTGGCTGCTGCATTTCACCCACAAAATATACAGTCAATTCACTTTATAGTATTGGTTAGAGCACTCAAAGGACTAATAGCACCTCTCACATCCGGAGGACATCTCAAAGTGTTTCACAGGTGACCCAATTACAATTATTTTCTTCTGCTCCCTGATTCTATCTAGCACCCTCCTTTAAAATGAATTACTTACAAACTTACATTTCGTCCACAAAATATTCAATCAATTCATTTTACAGCATATTCTGTGAAGCGCTCTGAGACATTTCGATGACATGATAAGTAGCTATATCAAATTCTAGGCTTATTATTATTTATTATTAATAAACATTTACTAAATTAATCCCTCTGAAAAATATTGGAAGCATTGACCTGCACGCTTCCTCCTCCCCCTTTCATCTCAACTCCTTTGATTTAACACATCTGCTTTCACGTTTCACCCCCAAAAATACACAGCCAGTTCACTTTACAGTATTGCGAGCACTCGCCTCGCAAGCGAGAGGACCTGGGTTCGATTCCCGGCTCCTGCGAAGCTCTTTGAGACATCTGAAGGGCTTGATAAGGCGCTGTATCAAAATGCAAGGATTATTAATGTTATTTACTAGCAAGAGACTCTTGGCGCAAAAGCAAAGCGTCTCAGAGAAAGCTCGGTAGCGTGAAAGTGCAGAACAAAGAGAAAGAAGCGAGAGGAGGAGATTTGTCAAACTTATTTCTGTGTGTCTGACCTGGAAGAGTATCAGTTCCTCTGGGGAGCTGAATGCATCATAGTTAGCAGCTGAGAAACTGAAGGCAATCCATCTGGACCTGCAAGTGATCAGGGAGAAACAGGGGGGGGGGGGGGGGGATCAAACATCTCCAAGAGGGTTACAGCCCTGGATTCACCCCTACCTTCTCTGATGAACCTTCAGCCTCTTGACGATGTCCCTAAATGGGTATTGTCAGTCACTGCGGATACGAATTAAGGCAAACCCGGAACTTCTGTGGATTGCACTGGGCTCCCAATCAATGATCAGTGCAGAGAGAGAGAGAGAGACAGGGAGAGAGGACCAATAGTGAGGCCAACCCCAGGAGGAACCGAAAGTAAACGTTGCTCTGTAGTCCCATCTCCATTCTGGTTTGCAGCTCTGTCTGAAAGGGAGACCCCCCCACCCCACTCCCACCCCCCTCACCCCCCACTCCCCCCTCCTTCTATTGCACAGAGTCTCTTGACAAGTTATAACTGTGTTTAGCCATCGATATCCATTCAGCATCTTTCTGGGAGGGAGAGGGCTGTGGCATTGATGTGGTACCCAGTGCTGCCCTTTAACAGAGCTGTTTGACCCATCTTAGGGATCTGTCTTAAGACACTGGACTACAATGTATATACACATACACACATGGGAAAACATATCACACACACACACACACACACACACACACAAGGCTTCTGCTTCCTGGTTATTCAGATTCCTGCAACAACAACGAACTCACACAAAAGGATCAGCAGATTGGAATTTGAACCCTGTGGTGTATCAAAGGGCAATGACTGTACTCATCAGAGCATTTTTTTTTGTAAACCCTTCTCTTCTGATCTGCTGTTTTCATTTCTTTGCGGCTCACCGAATTGTCCGCCGAACAGATTTCCGTGGGGTGGGCAATGGAGCAACTCATCACCAGCTCGTCCAACTGTGGGGAGGGATCTGGTATTCGTGTTCTGTCGAGTTCTTCTGTCGCTCGTTGGGGGACCTGTTGGGGAGGGGTGGGTTGAGAAAGAGGACATTGTACCCTTGCTAAAGCATGGTTGATGCCCGTCTGATGTATCATATATGTGTGTGTGTGTGTGCATGATATATAGTCACTTCGATCCTGTTTGTGAGACACTGCTGCGCACAATCGGCTGCCGCGTTTGCCGTGTCAATTCACTTTGCGGTATATTCTGTGAAGGGCTTTGAGACATTTCGAAGACGTGATAAGGTGGTATATCAATTGCAAGTATTATTATTATTAAATATATTCCTACCCTCCGCCCCTTCCAATCCCAACCCCCTGCTTGGGTCCAAATCCCTGACTGTCCAGCGCCTTGGGACGTCCTCCTGATGTGAAAGGCGCTGTACAAATGTAATTTGTTGTTGTTGTATCAACTATGGTTGATGTCTATGTCTGCTGTACCTGACAGAACGGTTGAAAACAAATACTTTATTGTACCTCTTCACACACATTTAAAACACACACAAATAAAGACTGGACTGACTTAATCAAACAAGATCTGCTTCTAATAATTGTTTTAATATGATATTTCAGTCAAATGGTATCATTCGGGGAGGTTGGATTAACATTTAATAAAATATATATATATCCATCGCAATCAACCGCCATTCTCTTGTACTACTTGTACAATTGTACTGGAGTGGTTCCAATTTTAATGGGGGCTGAGACTGACACAGATGTACGAGTGCCTGGGATGGAAATCGCCACCACTAGCCAGTACTGTACAGATATAATCCTACACCTGGACATGTCACTCACAATCAGGGGGCTGGGCAGCTGCAACAATCCGACTATTTTTGTGTCGTTCCTGGGCGGAATGTCGACGGTAGGGTTTGTCTTGATCATTGTCATCTTCTCCACAAATTCCCGGAAGTGGTCGCAAAAGGCCTCTTGGATGAAGGCTTTGTATTTGATCTCGGAGTAAAGAGAGTAAGATATTGACTTGACGTTCTTTGGTGTCCGGTTGTTGATGTGGGATGTAATGATGACTTCTTCGCCAGGGACGAATCCGCCTTTATCGATCGAGACTCTTAAAGAAATCCCTGGGAATGTCCAGCATAGGTACGAGACCCCTTTTTCAGCTTCAACCATCACAGGGAGCTGGAGAGAGAAAGGCATGCACAACGTTACAGAAATGACACGAGTTCAGATAAACATGCCTGGTCCAAACTTGTCCTGCAGTGTATTAGTTTGAGCATTGCCACGATTCCCAGGCAGGACAAACCATTAGGCAAGTTTCCTTTCTCCACACGCCTGTTTATCTAGCAGTAAGTAGGAACTTGATTGTTAGTCGATTGGCGGATCGCTTTTCCAGGGGTAATAATCCTTCAAAAGACTATTAATAATAATTTGGTCACTCAATCCATGACTGTTCATTACTGTGCACAATTGGCTGCCGTGTTTCACCCACAAAAAATATACAGTCAATTCACTTTACAGTATTTTTGTGAAACACTTTGAGACGGCTCAACGATGTGATAAGGCACTATATTAAAAGATTATTATATTATTGTCATTACAAACTTCTAAAGCAACTTCTTTCACACTTCTGTTATACTGAATTCCTTATTGCATAGTGATGCTTCAGTGCAAAATCAGGACTGAACCAGGATTATTTTTGGATCAGTTTTTTTTTCTCTCTCCCAATTTTCTCCTCTTCTGAAAGTGCTGCCTTGCGTTGATTGGGGGAAAGTTCCACTGGTGTCCTCCGGTACCTGACTCGAGAGGCCTTGCTTCAATTCTGAGCCTAGATAGAGAGTGTTGGCAGATATCGAGACAACAGCAGCAACAACAAATTACATTTGTATAGCGCCTTTCACATCGAGAGGATGTCCCAAAAAGCTGGAACAGTCAGGGATCTGCACCCAAGCTGGTGATTGGGATCAAGAGGGGTGAAGGGCAGGGTTGGTAGGGGTAGGAGGGTGACCGAAGGCACAGTCGAAGAGGAGACTGATTCTGCTTTCACCCATTGATTCCCTACTAAGTGCAGTTAGTTGCTACACTTCACAGTAAATCCTGTGAAACACTTTGAGATGTCCTCCCAATATGAAAGGTGCTACATCAGATATGTGGATTATTTTATCGGACACATATGCTTTACACTAAGGATCAATAGATAGCGATAGTAGATCGGTAGATATCGAGCGATAAGGGGCAGAAAAGACTCACCTTTTTCTCTTCCCGAGCCCAAGATCAGTGCGATCATTATAGCTGTTTTTTTTCTCCCTCAGCGAAGCTGCTTAGATCACTGGAAGAGCTGCCCTGATTTTTTTTTTGTAATTTTGGCGTAGTCACAAGACAACGGCACTGTCGGTCAGTGCAACAACTGATGGATAGAGTGACCAATTTTTTTTTGAATGGATTATTCCTCCGGAAAAGTGATCCACCAATTGACTAACAACCGGGATCCTACTTAATGTTAGGTAAACAGAGACGTGTGGAGTAGGAAAACTTGTCTAAGGTTTCGCCCAACCCTGGGAATTGAACCCAGGTTGCAAGGCAAGTGCTCTAAAGTCTAACCAATACACTACAGGACGCTACACAACTGCAAGTTCAGATCTGTGCTAAATTTTGTGATCTCAAGGTGGAGCAGCATTTGACCTCAGTGTTCTTGGGTTAACTACGGGGCAACTTCAGACAGGTTTTCTGCATCTGATTACCTGACTTTTCAGAGATTCTTGCTGTAAGGTGTCTGTGTGTGGATGTTGGGTCAGAACAGTAGGGGTCAAACAAACCACCCCACCCACTCCACACACACACACACACACACACCACCACCACTATGACAACACATGAAGAATAGGAGGTGTTCTTGCAACGGTGGTCCAGCTTGAGTCAACACCTTCAGAAGAGAGGGAGGAAAAAAATTATTTATCAATAGCGAAATCCACTTCAAAAGAGTAATGGAAATGCCACACATTCCTGAAATCTGCGCACAGCTACAAAAGGGTATTGCCTTGGTAACCAGACTGTTTCTACTGTACTCGGATTCTGTCTCCCTTAGTGAGATGCGGAAATTGTGCTGCTGTACATTAGGGTCCCAAGATCGATCTGTGCTACGTTAGCGGATCTCACTTTCCGGAACTAGGTCAGCGGGAGAGGGGAGAGAGGGCGCATTCCATTCCAACAATCTGTCTCTGGGATTTTCATGTGTAGGTGGGACGCGTGGAATTCTCAGTTTGGTTTGGATACTCTCAAGCACGGTGAAGGGTTTCCGCGTGTGTCAGTCACCCGGCTGACCCAAAGAAAAAGCGGATCTCATTTGAGGCAATAATAATAATAGTAATAATAATAATAGTTGGTGATCTGCAATTGGCCTCAGCACCTTCCAGAGAGAGGAAGGTAGAACGTCAGTGTGTATAATAATAATCTTTGCATTTGATATAGCGCTTTTCACGTCTTAGAGACGTCTCAACGCACTTCCCAGAATATACTGTAAAGTAAATTGACTGTATATTTGTGGGCGAAACGCGGCAGCCTATTGCGCACAGCAGTGTCCCACAAACAGTCGTGGATTGAGTGACCAAATTATTATTTTTTAATTGAGGGATTATTATCAGGTGTCTGGAGTAAAGGTCCTTACTATCTACAACCTCATCCTGGATGAGCACATTGATATTCTTGGGCTTACAGAAACCTGGCTTTCCCCCGGTGACCCCGTTTCTCCTCGTTGAAGCCTCCCTTCCTAGCAACACTTTTCACCGCACCCCCCGCCCCAACCAACATGATGGCGGGGTGGCCCTCATCTCTCAAGCTTCCCTTGGTCTATCCCGCTATTCCTCTGGCTGTTTCTCCTCCTTTGAGCACCTCACCTCTATCATCCCTCCTCTTTCTCCCTCAAATCCTCCTAGTTTCTCCCCCTCCCCCCAAACCTCCTGGTTCCTTCCTGACTGATAGCTCCTCTCTCCTCTCATCCCTGTCCCTCTGCACTGCTCATAATGGGTGATTTCAACCTCCACCCAAACTCCCCTTGCACCACCTCCTCGAATTTCACTGGCCTCCTCTCCTCCCTAAACTTCAAGCTCCACATCAACTCGCCGACCTACAACCGTGGCCATACCCTCGACCTCATCATCACACATGGCCTTGACATTTCTGACCTGCCCATCACAGACAAGGCCACCTCGAACCACTTCCTCATCTCCCTCTCCTCCCGCAACCCCTCCCCCAGCCCTTCCAATCTTCCTCCTCGAATGCCGTCTCTTCCTCTGACCTCCTCTCCCTCTGGCCCTCCACCAGCAGAGATCCTGATGCAGCTGTCAAGCTGCTGAATAACTGTCTCTGCACAACCTTCAATTCCTTGGTTCACCTGAAATCCAGGGTTGTTTCCAAACCCACCCGCTCCCCCCGGTACAACAGCCATCTCCACTCACTCAAAACACAAACCCGCAAGCTCGAGCGCAGATGGTAGAAATCCGGCCTCACGATTCACCACCAAATGTGCCTTAAGCATCTCCACTCCCACCGCCTCTCCCTTTCACAGACCAAAACTGACTTTTACTCCAAAGTCATTCTGGAGGCAAACAACAATCCAAAGACGCTGTTTCCCACCGTCCATCACCTCCTTGGTGCACCCCCTCAAGAACCCTCTATCCTTGCATCTAATGGCAAGTGCAAAGTGGTCCTAGACTTCTTCGCCTCAAAAATTGAAAACATTCGCTTGGCTGCATCATGTCCACCATGTCCCCTTCCACCGCACCCATACCATCCACACCCTCTTCTCCCTCCGCCACAGCTCCCACCACTCCCCACTGCTAACATTCCTTTGCCCCCACTTCTCCCTCCTCCTCCTCAACCATAATCACCCGGATGAAATTCACCACCTGCTGCCTTGACCTCTTCCCTACTCAACTGCTGTCCCCTGGTGGCCGACCCGGTCAACCAGACTCTCTCCTCAGGCTCTGTTCCGCTCCCCCTGAAAACTGCTGTCATCACATCCCTCTTCGAAAAACCTTGAGTGCTCTAACCACTGAGCTACAGGATTCCAACTCTGGAACACACTCCCTCAATCCCTCCGCCTTGTCCACTCGCTCCCTTTTCAAGTCCCGCCTGAAAACTTTCCTCTACGACCATGCTTATGGCCACCTCCCCCTCCCCTGGCTCAGTCAGGCTCCGTCACTGTCAAGTGCTCTGAGACGCTACTCTGCATGGAGGGCACTATATAAGCGCAAGTTGTTGTTGTAAGGAAACTTGCCCAAGGTTTCGTACTGCTGGGAATCAAACCCAGGCCTCTCGCTGGCGAGGCGAGTGCTCTAACCACTGGACTCCATTCTGAGCATTCTCAAAATGTATGTGTGTGTCTGTGCCTTGAATTGGAGTCAGTTCACTCCAAAGAGTGAAGGAAACGGTTAAAGTACCTTGGTTTGTGGATCAAGGTTAAGGTTGTATGTTTCCTGTACTCTTAGTTCCTTTTCCACCTGCGCTAAGGTCCCCGAGACTGCTGTGCAGAAAGCCCGGAGGTAGTACCGTATTTTCCCATGTTTGCTGGTAAAGGAGGAAGGAATGTCTGAGGACAGCTTGTAGTTGAATTGGAAACTGTGGGGACCAGCAACCAGGACCTGCTCCAACCCTTCAGCATCGTGATCTGTGTGAAAAGACATTGCTGTGTTTAATGAGATCAAATCATAGAATCTTACAGCACAGAAGAAGGCCATTCGGTCCATGGTGCCTGTGCTGGCTCTTTGAAACAGCTACCAAGTAGCCCCCACTCACCCCGCTCTTACCCCATAGCCTTGGAAATCTTTCCTGATCAAGTACCTATCCAATTCCCTTTTGAAAGCTAGTATCGAATCTGCTTCCACCATCCTTTCAGGCAGTGCGTTCCAGACCGTAACAACTCTTATGTTTTTCCCCAAATCTTTGCAAATATTTATTCAACAACAAGATTACATTTGTTTTGCGCCTTTCACGTCGGGAGGATGTCCAAGGCGCTGGACAGTGTACAGCATTTCAGATCCGACCTGGGGTTGGGGAAGAAGGGAGGGAAGGGGCGTGACCGATGGCATGGTCGAAGAGGAGAGTTTTGAGGCGGGACTTGAAGGAGGTTTTGGGAGACACATGCCAGGTGTGTGAGATTCTAAAAGGTCAGAATACCATAAAGACCCTGTTATATTCTTCTTAATATTGAACAGATTCTTAATAAAGGGACTACTTTCAAGCCAACAAAATGGGCAAACTCTGTGCCGTTAAGTCTATCCTTTCCCTTTATTATTATTATTATTTATCCTGTTTCGCCCACAAAATATACAGTTGATTCACTTTACAGTATATTCTGTGAAGCGCTTTGGGACATCTAGAGGACGCGCAAAGCGCTATATCAAATACAAGAATTATTATCATTTACAGTATATTCTGTGAAGCGCTTAGAGACGCCTAAATGGCACGATAAGGCGCTATGTGAAACGCAAGGATTATTAGTATTCAAAATATTTCCTCTTGATGCACTCTTCTTAACGCGGACGAATGGCTTAAAGATTCGTTGAGAAAAAAAATGAGGATCATATTCGTTGAGGAGGAGGGGGGGGGGGGGGGGAAAAAAAACAATGCAGCAGAAGCCCACCAGGGGGCAGACACGAGGCAGGAATGTCAGGAACATCGTGTCGTTTTCTCCGGTCAGGTCACTCGCTGCTTTTCCTCGTGGGAATGGAACCACAGCGCGATACGCTGAAGGACCATCTATAAAGCTAAGATAACTAACCTTTTAACTCGCCTTTTCGCGAGCTTCGTTCCGATTTTACCGGGCGCGGGAATTCAATTTTTTAAACAAGGAGCTTTTAAAATCCGGACAGCCACGTGGTTAAGTAAATGCTGTCCGGTGTATTGGGGTAGAGGCTGTTTAGACTTTTTATGGTTACAGGTTGACCTTTAATCCCAAGACCAAAAGTAGGACAGTTTGCCCTCCTCCTCCAGACCCTGAGATTGAATTCACTGCAAGGTTTCACCCATTGTGAACAAAATACATAAGGTCATGGATTTTCTTTTAAAATGGCTTTCACGTCGCACTAACAACATAACTGATTTGTTACCCTCGGAAAGCAGTGGCGTGTTATGCAGGACAAAGTGCGTGAATGGTTTTATTGGGTTGAGTCAGAGAGGAATCATTTTCCATTCCATTCTTTAACCAGGACTTTTAGTATCCAGTCCACAACCATTTCCTGAGTAGAACTGAAGAATAACTCACTACGCAGATATCTTTCACATTCAACTTTTAATTTGTTATTGACAATACGTATTGTAAAGTGAATTTGTGATCCAAAAACCTGCGCAAAACTGCACAGGACTGATAACCTGTGGTGCTGAATCGAGGTTCCAAGCCTGAAAATGATCAACCCTACATTCCCACATGATTCCTCACGTGTGACTCACATATATTCACTGCCGCAGTACATGTACTTGAGTACAGTTGATTTCCCAGAAAAACTACTTTGTGAGGGGTGGTGCAAGACTTGCTCCCCAAATTGTATGCCTCAAATAGGATTGACCCTGGTTTCTTCAACAACAATAACTTGTATTTATATTGCTCCCTTCACACGGAGCAGCGTCTCAGAGCCTGACGCCGAGCTGGGGGGAGGAAATTACCATAAATCAACACAAACAAAATGCAAAGTAAAATGGGCATTAATGTCTTGTCCGCTTCTGTTGTTAACGTACACTTGCCATATTTTCCTCAAGTTCCTACCTGCTCCCCACAGTGTGAGGATATGATGGAAGTAATCTTCTTTGTTACTGCAGTGGACTGCCCTGGTGTAATCCAACGACTGATCAGTTTCCTCAATCCACTCCACAAACCCTTTGCCAGCGAACTTCAGCTTCAAAGAATAAAGGAACAAAGTGTCACTCAGCTCCAAGATGACCTCCCCATCAATATTCTGACCTGCCAAATACACCTCATCTCTAAAAACCAGCTCCAACTTTGTAACCTTCGGAATTGGAACAAATATGGAAACTGTTCCCATGGCAGATGCCGTCTCCAAGCGAGTGGTGACTCACTCCATAGGGGACGTTTCAATGAGAACATAGAAAGTAAATTCAAAGTGGTCTTTGAGGTTCAGAGGTCACAGCAATTATGTAGTCATGAATAGAGGGATAAACATGGCCTGACATCACAACCGATTCTTTATGATACGGAATTTGTGCCTCCACTTTGGGTTTAGAGAGTGATGCTTAACAGTCAGCAGCTGTTATTTTACCTTTTGTGATTATTTTATTTATCGGCTGTGGATAAAGAAGGCAGAGTTGTACCACAGCATAGACATTATTAAATGCGTTAAGGTAGCATAAACATGTTCATATCCATTTGACAAATTTATACCCACTGTTGTTTCAAGTGATCTGCTGGGAGTCTTCTTCTGCCATGCTATATAATAATAATCCTTCCATTTGATACACCGCCTCATCACATCGTTGAGGCATCTCAAAGTGCTTCTCAGGATATACTGTAAAGTGAACTGACTTGTTTATTTTGTGGGCGAAATGACTTAATGGAACTTGGAAATGAGATCACCATCCGGATCAAGTTCTGGTCATCCCATGTATGTGTAGGATCAAAATTGGGATCAAGATAAGGTAAGGCAAAATGAGTGGATTCAGTCTCCTCAGTTCTGCCTGTACTGAAAATAACAACGGGGTAGCATTTCTAGACAGTGACTGACTCTTAGTTTAATATATATTCTTTAAGTAACCATGTGTTTTTAATTCATAGATTGTTGGCAGCAGTATCGCAATGTAAGCAGTTGTACCGCAAATATCAGCGAGGAATGTGTCTACTTCTTCTTCGTTTCAATTGTTTACAATTTTCCTTGTGGCTAAAAGCAGAGTCAGCAAGAGTAAAAATCGTCCTAAAATGCGGAACATACAAAAGAGAAGGGTCCATGATAATAATAATAATCCTTGCATTTGATATAGCGCCTAATCATGTCGTTGAGACTGCACAAAGGGATTCACAGGATATATTGCAAAGTGAATTGACCGTATATTTTGTGGGTGAAACGCGGCAGCTAATTGTGGAGAGCAGTGTCCCTCAAACAGTCATGGATTGAAGGGGCAACATTTTTTTTGGGTGGGGTGGGGGGAATTATTACCCCCGGAAAATGATCCGCTAATCGACTAACAACTGGGTTCCTACTTACAGATAGGTAAACAGATGTGTGTGGAACAAGGAAACTTGCCTAAGATTTCGCCCTGGCTGGGAATCGAACCCAGGTTCTCAGTACTTTCACGTTTAGCAGAGGAAGGAGTAAATCTCTTCAGAAGAAATCTTTACATAGCAAAGCAAGACAGCAGCGCATGCAACATTCAAAGGCACTTTATGCAGGAATTTGTTTACAATAATATTAATAATAAAAATCAGTATATTTGATAGAGTGACTTTCACATTAGGAGAACATCTCAAAGCACTTTCCAGGCACTTTATAGGCAAAACGCAGCAGCCAATTTGCACACAGCAAATGTCTTACAAATAGCCATGAAACGAATGACCAATTTTATCTGGCGAATTGTTGGCCAGGATATCAGGAAAAACTCCCTCCTCTTTTCAAATAGTGCAATGAGGTCTTTAATGACCCCCTGAACAGGCAGATGGGACCTCAGTTTAAAATCTCATCCAAAGGATGTCAGTTCCAAACAATACAGCAGACCCCTCGCATTGGATTAGAGTGTCATCTTACACCATGTGAGTTCGAAGTCCCAACATGAGGCGTCAACTCACAACTTTCTGACTCGGGAGGCAAGAATGCTACCAACTGAGCCAGCTTACATATCAAATAACTGTCTTGGCACTACCTCAACATACTGTGCGACACGACATCACATAGCGAGTATTAATCTTTAACAGTAAAACTACTCGGGCACTGTTGATTAAATCTAAATGCAATGTGAATTGAGCACAGCAACAGGCTGTATATGGCTGCACTAAGAGGCTTTTGTGTAACCAAACAGTGGGGGGAGTAGCATTGCTCAATTGTACACCAGCCTGGAAAGGTAAAAAGAAAAAAGAAAATGTTTCAAGAAAGAGAAGCACATTGGGTATGAATTAATTCGCCCTCCCTCATTTGTCACCCTGATCATTTGGATTTAGTTTAAAGAGATTAACTTTGCCTGGAGCTCTCGAATGATCAAATATGGTTTTAACTGCTGCCTCTTTGCTTGGACTTCCTGAAACACTGTATGTGGTTCGGGGCAGAAGGGTGGTTCAAGGTGCTTGATCTCACTTAGCTTAAAACCTCGCTGGAGGAAGGAGGAGTGGATTCAAATCACCTTTCCTCATCCTCAAGAGTCACAGATGTGTCAGTAAACAATACATGGTAGGGAAATGCAGTCCTATCTGGATGAAGATGCAATGCAGCCCAGGGCTCTGACAATGCCATCGCAAGAGCGGAACAACAGCAACAATAAATTACATTTGTGTAGCGCCTTTCATGAGGACAACCCAAGGCTCTGACCTATTACAGCTGCTTTAAACATCAGCCTGAGGTTCAGCAGCGTTGTCTTAATGTTAATGTTGTGTACTTTATACAGACTCTAAAATAGAGTTCTCAAGTTGCTGTTGCGTTAATGACTGCAGTCCAAGGGAGCCAACATCTCTCGAACATTTGGGTCCGCCCCGGAGCTTGACAAAAGCTGTCAACCTATTGCTATCTGTGTTTGGGTTGATTGAAACCAACTGCTGGGTGAGTGGGGGCTGGGGACTAAGTTGGGGCTCAGGGCAGCTGCCATCCTGCTGCTTGCTGTACATATCTGTTTGTGTTGGAAATTCAGCAGAGCTGTCATCTGCTGCTACACAGATTTGTGACAGTGACTGCTGGGGGCCTCAGTAAAGCCGTTACCTGCTGCTAGGCATGTTTATGTCGAGGGGGCTCAGTGTAAGCTTCACCCTTCTGCTCTGTGTCTGCCTACATTTGCTGGGAGCTTAGCAAAGCGACACCATGCTGCTACACATTTCTGTGCTAGGGCTTGGGCAGAGCTGTCAACCTGCTATTTGTCTGTCGTGCGTTTAGATCCAGGATATAGGTTTCTTTTTTCCTCTCCCCTCCCCCACAAATCAGCCTACAAAAAGACGAAATAATTGCAAAGTCTGGGCAGCAAAAATATTCACCAAATAGGAATGTGTGGGAATAAAGGGTCACAGACAGGAAGTGGGTTTAGGTTTCCTGTTTTCTATTTATTAAAGGAAATAATCATATCAGGTATTCACTTCTGTGGGATCAACTCACTATTGGTTGTAACCTCCCAAAAGGCAGAAATATTCACCCTTTATGTGACTAAGCACAGGCCTCAAGCTACTATGATTCAGTCATTCACTAAACGCCCTTGTGTAAATGCATTACTCTCCAGTGCATTGTGTGTTCTTGGCCCACATCCCGAGTCCTTCTTTAACAACGATAATCAGTACATCAGTAAAGGAAACCCCTTTTAATTAGTCCAGTGAAATAAAAGGCACTTTATTACTACCACATAAGCCTCACTGTCTTAAAATCCTGATTACAAGTTATGTTTCCAATGCAGCTGACAGGCAGGTTTCTGAAATGCCTGGTACGTTTATTTTATGCTAATAACAGATAATTTGTATAATTGTTTTGTTCCTATGAAAAAGGACATTGAATCTTCATGCAAAATAGAACCGTCGACACACACAGAGAAGAAAATAAGGGTCCATTCAAGTTCAATAAAGCATGCCCTACATGTTTCTACAGCTGCCACAGTGGGTTTGAGGATGTGCTGCCTAAGCAAGTGAAACGAAGATGCTCCACACATAACTGTACAACCTTTAGGCAGGCAATTATTGTTGTGTAAATATTGAGCAATGTCAAGTATCATAGCTCGATCCCGTCTTCACTCTGCATCCACAACCATGCACTTTTCTGCAAAGGTCACTGGTAGCAATCCAGAGTGGGAGCCCTGCCTGATTATTCGCTATGCTATTTCAGGGATGCTGAAGCCAATTGTAACACTTCCCCAGTTAAAATCAGCTAACTTGATAATAGTAATAATCCTTGCATTTAATATAGCATCTAGTCACGTCGTTGAGTCTTCACAGAACACACTGTAAAGTGGATCGCCTGTATATTTGGAATCAAACCTGTGATGTTCAGTATGCATTCATGTGTGCTTCACGAGTTTGTACCTTTACACAAGAAGCCATTGAGGAAACTGATAGTCTAAACATAGTTTATAAGCTCCACATTCGCATCACTAATACCAAATGTTTTTCAAAATGTACCAGTTGCCAATCTGAGAACTTGCATACAAAAGGTGTAGTATTTATATAATACTTACAACTTAGTGTTTACCCTGCCTACTATAAGTGACCGGACTGATTCAATCTAATCTTCCTTCCCTACTTATAAGTAATATAAGTATCACTTATAGCCTGTAATGCAACACATTAACACATAGTTTTTATGTTTGATAAAAACATTCTTTATTGCATCTTGTTAGACTCTAGAGACAAAATATGTTCAAATAGCTTTTTTTTAAATCTTCAGTTTCCTGGTAAGATAGACCAGTTAGAACCAGTCAGGGAGCAACTGGAGCATTGGGATATGAATCCTTGGTGCCAAAGAAAAAGAATTTCAAAGCAGATCAATATTGGCATTGCATCAGGGAAATATGAAATTCCAGCAAATAAAACAAGCTTCAAATTCCACTGCGGTCCAAACGCACTTCAGACTTGCCTTTCCTGCCATCCTGGGTGGCTGATGTGGTAGAGCAATTGAGCTAAGTGAATCAGAACAAAAAATTTAAATAAAAAACAAGGTTGCTGGAAAGCAACTGCCAAAAATAAGGCATGAGCGGTAAATGAAAGTACGGCAAGTTTCACAACTTCAGCCCTTCCAATGATGATTGGATCATATATCCGGTGGTATGTTTAAAAGTGATACAAGTACTGACAAGCTTCTGTTAGATGTTATGAATTTTGTTTTTCAATTATCTTTTGAGGTTTTGTTTGCTCAAGTTGTGCATTCATAGCAAGTGCTTTTTTTTACTTTTCTGATCCATTTTACAAAATGTAGGAACGTTGCCTTATTCTGTACTACATGGATTATATAGGGAACATTACAAGGAAATAGCAAAGCATCCATAGGGAAAATACAGGAAACCCTTTTTAAAGGACTGGAGCATTGGTTTAATAACTTCAATCACACTCAACTTTTTTTTGAGAGGTAGAAGAATGTTACCCTCTTATATGTCCTGCCTTCCCCCTTACTGACCTTTTTTCGGCTACAGACCTCTCATACTCTGGACAAGTGGTCATTCCTCAAGCTTCTGCCAGTGCTGCTCTTGGCTGCCAAACAGGAAGCAAATTGGGGAGTTCCAATGAAATCTCCTCATTCAATTTCTGCTCCCTCGTGCAGCAAGGCATCAAGAGGAAGAGACAGATAAATCTGGAAGAACAAAAGTGAAGAACTAAACCTCTATTTACTCTGCATACTGGTGCTCCAACAAGCCGTGCTATTGACGCTCCATTGTTCTGTAAATACACAAGTGCGTACTCCTAATACTGCAACTTCCTACCCTGTTTTGTGAAGCGTGTGTATTCACTGAATAAGAGATTATTGCAATTGTGATTGGTTTATCCCTTATATTATGTTCACTTTGGTTGAGAAGGAGTTAACTATATGGATACAGAGAATGCTCTTCCACCACAGAAGCCCCTTGTTCCTTCTCACTTGGTATTCAGATCTAATCCTCTGTGAAACTAGGTTCCTGGACATATTATCACACAATCTGATATCTATTACAATATTTAGTGTTACAACTCAGCAGCCATTTAAAAAAAGACTGTATTCTTACTTGGGCACACAGCCTGGATCGTTGTGAAAAAATAATAGAAGTGAGAAAACCTGTCACTTCTCTTCAGTTGACTGAGTCAGTGCACTGGTTCTAAATAAGTCATACAACATTGTTCTATGACTCAGACAGAATGCCTTTTTATACAAAAGCTTTGTTTCTAAAGGATATAAAAAGCAAAAAAATAAAGTAACGAAGCCTGCAGTCAGAGAATGATGTTCTAAAACACTTAATCCTCTTATTAGTCATCTGTCTACAAGGCATAAAAGGCTCAGAAACTACACGTTTATAGGGGAGAAGATGCTGTGTTGTGGCAAGTTTGGTGCACGATTACAATGCATAGTTATAATGGGTCATTTCCATTCTCACATATTATTAAAGTGCATGAAAATAAACCATCAAATGCAGTTTTATCCTCTGATACTTTTATTTAAATAAGGTTTCCCCCTCTCCCTCCCAGCATGGTTCCTAGTCAACTGTGTGTGTGTGTGGAATGCTTTGAGCTATCCTCCCAACCTAAAAGGTGCTACACAAATGTAAATTGTTGGTTTTATTTTCCCACTTTTTGTAAGTCACTGGTGTCAACTTCGTGATTCATTAAAATGTTTTCCAACCTAAAGATGCAACAGCCATAATCAGATCGATTGATCTAAAAATCAGAAAGAGGGAAATAAATCTCTCTTGGAAAAAGATGGCGATGGCACATAAGATCGCATTGAATGAATGAAGCAAGGCCTTTATCATCAGACCCAGTCCTTCTGCGTATTATGCAAAAGCTCCCTCATCATGGACTCCACCCCACTAAATCTATCCACTTGTGGCAATACACTGCAGAATTACTCCTTAGTTGTCAAAGCTAATTCAAGCAAACACAAAAGCGTTTTCATACCAGGGTGCTTTCCTCCGCAAACAACATTCCTTTCTTTGGACTTCCTCCCAATTTGAAAGACGCTCTATAAATGTAATTTTGTTGTTGTTGTTCCTGCTCCCAGTCTCAGAAGCACATTTTGCAGCAGGAAGTATTTGTTCATCTCAGTCTACATCTATTTCTGTATATTTATTTATTTCTCCCTCCAAAAATAATCCCTTCAATAAAAATTATTTGGTCACTCAATCCATGACTGTTTGTGAGACACTGCTGTGTGCAATTGGCTGCCGCTTTTCGTCCACAAAATACAGTCATTCCAGTTTACAATATATTCTGTGAAGCGCTTTGAGGCGTCTCAACTCTATATAATAATATCACTCAATCCGACTGTTTGTGGGACACTGCTGTGCGCCATTGGCTGGTGTGTTTCGCCCACAAACATACAGTCTATTCTGTGAAGCGCTTTGAGACGTTGAGAAGACGTGAAAAGCGCTATATCAAATGCAAGGATTATTATTATAAATGAAGGTCTGTCAGCCATGTTCGCCTACAAAATACACAAGCCATTCCACTTAACAGTAAAATCCTGTGAAGCATTTGAGATATTCTAATATGAAAGGGGCTGAATGCAAGAATTTAATAACCCATTTCCTCATTTAGACAATGAATAGCAAAGCTGTGGATCTCCTGCCTGTCTCATCAAGCTTTCCAGCACTGAGTGGGATAGAAGGCCATTCGGCCCATGTGTCTGTGCTGGCTCCTTCAAGATCAATTCTCTCAGTCCCATTTATCTGCTGTTTCATTGTAAATAACCCTATAGCTGACTTTTTTTTAAAAAAGTTATTTTGTCTCGTTCCCTCTTGAAGGCTAATACGGATTTTGGCTCAACGATCGCTCCTAGCAGGGCATTCTATATCCTAACAACTCTGCGCGAAACATATTTCTCCTAACCTCCCTATTTGCTAACTTTTCTAAATGCTCGGAGACTCTGCCCCTCAAGAAGGGTGCTACATAAATAGAAATTGTTGTCAAATTGATGCCCTCTGGCTCAACGACAAGCACAGATACAGCAGTTTCTCCCCACTGACTGTCAAAAGCCTCACATAAATTAAAAGACCTCTATCAGGTCACTCCTCGACCTTGGCTTCTATACTGCCTTACCTGACATTGGCTGCAGGGCGGCCAGAAATTAAAATAGTTGGTTTGCAGCCCAAAGGCCACCAAACACCAGCCCAAAAGTAGCCCAATAGTATGCGTTTCCTCCTGTAATAATAATCCTTGCATGTGATATAGCGCCTTATCACGTCTTCCAGACGTCTCAAAGCGCTTCACAGACTATACTGTAAAGTGAATCGACCGTGTATTTTGTGGGCCAAACACGGCGGCCGACCGCGCACAGCGGCGTCCCACACACAGCCGCTGATTGAAGTGACCAAATTACTATTTCATTTAGGAGTATTTAGGATTTATTACCCGTTTCATTTATTACCCCCGGAAAAGCGATCCGCCGATCGACTAACGGCCAGGTTCCTACTTACCGCCGGGCAAACAGAGGCGCTCGGGGGGGGGGGGGTGGAGTAAGGAGACTCGCCCGACGGTTCGCCCTGCCCAGGAATGGTACCCGGGGGCGGCGGGTGGGGGTGGGGTTGGTGTCGGGGAGGGGGATCACCAATTTCAGTCAGCGCCGTTGAGTCTGCGTTAAGGAAAGACTCCTCAAAGGGTGGGGGAGAGGGAGAGAGGGGGGGGGGGTTGGGGTGGGTTTTGTGGGAACCTTCCCCAGCTTTTAAATTAAAAACGTCTGAAAATTTAAGACAGTGCAACAGAAACCCGCCCCACTCTGGGCGTGAAACCCTCCCAACCTGACCCTCTGGTGGAGGAGGAGCTGTCCCCCCCCCACACCCACACCCCCACACCCTGCAGTTCCCGCCAACCGCCAGCAAAACAACTTTTTTTTGCGCGCCAAAATCCCCTCCCTCCTCCTCTCTCTCCCTCACACTCCCCCTCTCCTCTTCCTTCTCTCCCTCACACTCCCCCTCTCCTCTTCCTTCTCTCCCTCACACTCCCCCTCTCCCCTTCTCTCCCTCCCACCTTCCTTCTCTCCCTCCCACTCCCTTCTCTCCCTCCCACTCCCCCTCTCCTCTTCCTCCTCTCTCCCTCACACTCCCCCCCTCCTCCCTTTCTGTCCCTCCCCACCTTCCTTCTCTCCCTCCCACTCCCCCTCTCCTCTTCCTCCTTCCTTCTCTCTCCCTCCCACTCCCCTCTCCTCTTCCCCCTTCCTTCTCTCTCCCTCCCACTCCCCCTCTCCTCTTCCTCCTTCCTTCTCTCTCCCTCCCACTCCCCCTCTCCTCTTCCTCCTTCCTTCTCTCTCCCTCCCACTCCCCCTCTCCTCCCTTTCTGTCCCTCCCCACCTTCCTTCTCTCCCTCCTCCCTCCCCACCTCTCCTTTCCTTCCTTCTCCCCCTTCCCTCCGGGAGGGGAGGGGGGGGGGAAAAACCGCTTCATTTTTTAAATAAAAAATACCACTAATTTTTTTCTGGAGGGGGGGGGGGGGAAACGACAAGAAATAATTTTTTCCTTTTTTTTTTGTGTTTTTTTAAAAAAAAACAGGAGACAGAATAACCCGTCACCAGGAAGCAATGCCGCGCGCTCACTTTTTTTTCCCCCTCGGACCCGTTCCTGGTAAATTTCCGCGTCACTTTTGTTTTTCTTTTGAGGGGGGGAGGGGGGGAGGCGGGGAATTAATTAAAAGAAAAGTTATCAATTAATTAGTTTTTTTTTTGGGGGGGGGGTTTCTTTCATTCACACACGACACATATAAAAAAAATAAAAAACGGCGGCGGACGGGGGGGGGGGGAGGAAAACACCCCTCCCTCTCCCCCCCCCCCGGGCAACTCTCGCGAGGTATCGTTCGCGCCGCCGCCGACGCCGAGACTCGCGCTTTCGGTTCAGTTCAGAGCGGCGTCGAGTCGAGTCAACCAAACTTGCCGAGGGGACGCGGAAAACCTTGTGCGCACGCGCCACCTCCCCCCCCCGCCCCGCCCACCCACCCCAATGCCTTTCGCGCCCGAGCGGCACCGACAACCGAACTTGCTGAGGGAGCGACGTCAGGACGCATGCGCGGACGCTGGCTCGCTCGAGCCACGGCCGTTACCTCAGCCGCTCCCCCTCCCCGCCCCGCCCGGGCCCCGCCCCCCCTTCCCCTCACAGGCGGGCAGCGTCCAATGGAAGCGCGCGATGGGCGCGCGAGGCGCAATGAGCGTTGGGCCGAGGGGGCGGGAGGACGAATGAACGTTGGGCGCGCGGGAGTCTCGCGTTTGAATCGAGAGGCGGCGCGAGCCGGGGTCGGGCTGCGAGAGGAGGAGGAGTGCTGTGTCCGGCGGGAAACTTTTTTTTCAGTCCGAGAGAGAGAGGCGCGTATACACCCCCTCCGGGTCTTGAGGAGTTTTTTTTATATATAAGTCTCTGCCTTGTAAAGAAAGAAAGGCCCATTAATTTTAAGCACTGTTTTCGCGCTCAACTTTCTATTCAAAACAACAACCGTCACCGCACACACATTAAAAAAAAAACCCCACCAAGAAGGGCTCAAAGATGTGGATCCAGGTGCGGACGATGGACGGTAAAGAGACTCGGCGCATTGATGGCCTCTCGAAACTGACGCTGGTGCAGGAGCTGAGGGCCAAGATCCATGAAGCGTTTGGGGTAGAGGCGGAGAGGCAGCGACTCTTCTACAGGGGAAAGCAGGTATTATTACTTTTCACTGGCCCTTTTTGCTGCTTGCACCCCCCCCCCCCCCCACCACCACCACACCACCCCCACCCCCTACACAAGGCCGCCACCGTTTAGGGGGTCTTCTGACCAACACACGCCAGCGTGGTGAAGCGGTTGCTCTCGTTTGTGGAAAAGTGTCCCGCCAGAGACAATAGAAAGAAGAGAGGGGGCAGATGGTGAAGGGACTGTGTGTGCCTTATATAATATATATATAGTATGTGGGTACAAATGACTCCTGTGGTGTTATTGATATCTAGATCGCCACGTTCACCATCCACCTGGTTTCTCATGTTGAAGTTGAAGGGTGGGTGGGGGTGTCTATAGGTGGTGGGGGGGGGGGGGGTGTGAGGCAGGAAACGGGGGTCGCGGCAGTTTGATGGCCCCCAAATCCGGTGTTACAGGTCGAATACGAAGAGGTCATCCTTACCTCGAGGTGTAACTCTTCCATGATGCTGTGCTGCCGCCGGGGGTACGCTCCCCAGTCAGTCACCGGCCGGTGTATTTTTATGTCCTCCGTTTCCCCCGGAAAGCTTCCATCACCCACCTCACTTCACCCCCATCTTTGTCGGACTCGGAATCCGGTGCTGAAGAAGTGGGATTAAAGGTGTTGCTTTTCTCTCCGTCCAGCAATTGTTGCTCATCCATCTATCCTCCCTCCCTCCCCCGCTGCCGCCGCCGCTTTCGGTGTTTTAATTAAATTCATAGCTTGGAACTGAGAAACGACGCTCGTTTAAATGGTTTTAGATTGGAAAAGGAATCCAGGACCTCCGGAGCTGGCACTGTTGTCAGAGAGGCGGGGTGTTTACACCACACTCTAACCTGCTAGCTGCCGCGTCCCCATTGGCCGCCGGCGTGCGTTTGTCGCACCCCATTGGTCGCTTGCCCCGTCAATCACCGGCCTGGCGGGCTTCTCCCATCATGTGTGGTTGCAGAGACGAAAGAGTTACCGAAAAAAGGCGCTAAATGGCTCGGTATCCGCTGGTTCTGGGTTATATCGCGTTTAGTTTGCACAGGGTCAGTGTGGGGCACTGAAGCTCTCATAGAGCGCGATGATCACATCCTTGTACGTTTGGGATGTCTTCCGCCCCTTCGGTTGTATTTCATGCATTTTGTTTGATGTGGGCGGTTTGACAAGCTGTTCAAAATTCCTTTCACGTGGACTCGAAATGTGTTCCCTGTCCATTTGGCCTACGTGTAGTTTCTTCATTAGAACAAATCGAGTGTTAAGTCAAGACAGTTGGATTAAGGTTGTGTAACTCGCCACAGTTAAGGCCATTGCTGGCAGTGAGTGATTTCACAAATTTGCTGTGATTGGAAATGGAGTTGTTTTCTGCTGTATTTTATACCTTATAGGCAAACCTCTGGGCTTTTAACTGAAATAAGGATTTGGTTTGGGCGCCACCTAGGGATCGAACGTTTTTTTTAAAGGTTTATAACACGCTTTTAAGTTAGGATCATAAAATCATTTAATGCCTTCCATGGAACTTGTATTATTTACTGATGGTAAAACCGCAGGAGTTGGCGGCCTTATCTACTCACAACATATTGGGCGCTCTATTTGCAACATTTTCAAGTTAATCAGCGAATATCCCTTTACAACGTTATCTTGGATTTTTCTGTGACCCTGAATAATTTTTTTAAAATAAAGTCCATTTCAAGAGGATGTTTGCGAACTTTTATTGTATTATAGAATATTTGAAATTGCTGATGCTAATATGTCTAAGGTAATGGTAATATATCCCATTCCCTAGTCCTCATTCCCAGAAGAAACTGGGTTGGTGGTTAAGAGTTTCACTTTGAAGACCTTGTGGTAGAAAACAACTTCCTGAGAAGGAAATCTGTTTAAAGCCTAAAATATATTAAAGCCAACTCAACTTTATCTCTTAAGAGCTATCAATTACATCAATCAGTGCAACCAGAATTCACCCTTAATGGTTTTGTTTAACGAATGTAATCATTCTGTAGTTCCACATTTTTAATTAGTATTGAGAGAAGTGGAGATTTCCACCCTTCACCTCAACAAAATTCCACCTAATCTTGGCTTAAAATAATGATTTTGTTTTAAGATTATACAGTATTCTGGAATATTCTTAATCTTTTGGATGAGCAGAAAGTTTCACAACAACTTGCATTTCTATAGCGTCCTTCACACAAGGGAAAGCTTAACAGCGGAACCTGATACCGGAAGGTGTTCAGGCGTGATCTGAAAAAAGAGGAAGGAAGGGGCAAGGCGGAGGGATTGAAGGAGAGAGTTTGTGGTGTAGTGGCTGAAGGCATGGACTCCGAGGGTGGAATGGAGGGGATGAGCAATAAGTGGGAGGCTGGAGTCAGCAAAGCGGAGGTGGTGGGGAGGGTAACGGAGAGTAAGAGGTTGGAGAGGTAGAGAGGTCCTAGGGTATGAAGGGATTTGCAGTCGAGTGGGAGGATCTTGAAGTTGATCCGTTCTGGGAATCGAGAGCTAGTGGAACCTGGTGATGGCGTTTCGGAGTTTAGATCGAGTGAATATACGGGCAGAGTTGGCTGGTTAGTTGGATTTTGTGAATATTGGAGTTGGGGAGGAGGGCATTGGAATAATTGAGATGGGAGATGACAAGTGTTTTCTTTGTGTCTCCTATTTAGTGCACACTTGCATACCCCAAAGGAATCGCCCTTTTTTTCTTAATCTTGGAAAGTTAAGGCACAGGTTGCCTTGAACTGTTGAGTAATGCAGCAGCTGAAATTGCTGATCTCCTGGTATCATAGCCAACAATCCCCCAGATAAAATTGGTCATTTACTTTATGGCTGTTTATCTGGCATTGCTGCGTGCAGGTTGGCTACTATAGTTACCACACTTTACAGTTAAATGCCGTAAAACGCTGTAAGACTTCTCGGTGCTGCAATGAAGCATTATTATTATTGTTGGGCAACCCTGGATTATGCATTGGGATACTGCTGGAGTTAAACCAAGTTAAATCCATGTAGCCTATCTTTGCAAACAGGAGCAAATTTCTTGCTGCTTGTTCTGCTCAGTTCGCTCTACTTGCGACAGTTTGGGTTTGTAAGGTTATGGTTGCAGAGTGAGAAGAATCCCAGCTCCCAGTAACTGATTTGCTTCTCCAAGACTGAGCAGAGCTGGCTGGTCAATCGTTAGCAATGGAGTCTTAGCAATGGGTAAAATGAAAACGCAAATGAAGAGTTTACTGAACACATAATCTAAAAGATGGGTCTTTGAAATTGACAGAGAGATGCGTAGCAAGGGTGTTTGGGGAATAATTCCAAAGGATGGAGGTGGCTGAAGTAGCAGTCAGACTAGACATGTGTAGTGTCGAACAGTCATCGAGAGATTTTAAAACTTTTAAAAAAAACACTGGCATAGGTATCCAGTGGAACATGTGGGACATGGTTAAGGCAATTGGGGCCTCGATTTAATGTCTTATCGAAGGATGGCACCTCCAACAATGTAGCCCTGAACTCTGATTCCGCGAGGAAGCGTCAACTTAGACTATTAGTTCCAGGTTCAATATGTGGCATGAACTCACAGCTTTCTGACTCAGAGGCAAGTTTGCTACCAAATGAGCCAGGTTGTGCACATATTCCTGTTTTCTGTTGTCACAACATGGCCACAGTGCAGTAGTAGCATTTTTCATGAAGCACTAACAGCAGCATATAATAATAGTAATCTTTGCTTTGATATAGCGTCTTATCACGTCATCGAGGTGTTGCGAATAAAGTGTAAAGTGAATTGACTATTTTATGGGCAAAACAATAATCTACTGTTCGGGACCTGGTGGCATGGAGGTGTGGACCTTGTTGGATTGATTCCCTGAAATCTGAAGTGGCGTCTCCTTTCTGTCCCTGGGAGAGTGTGATCTTCTGATGTTGACGTACACTTTTACTGCTTTTATGCTAAAATGAAAGATAAAAAATTACACTGCCAAGCTGTAACTGAGGCATAGAGCTAACTAAGGACTGAAAGTATGGTAATGCAGTGAGAGACATGAGTTTGATCCTGATCTTGAACATATTGCTAAAATGCTCCCTCCCCACTTGGGCCATTTTGAATTGTTTGCAGTTTTGCTTAGTTATTTTAGATGGCTTTCTAGAATCGACGAAATGCGTCATGGAAACATTGAAGAGGGAACAATTATGAGCAGAAATTACTCCAATTTTACTCCTTTGATAGTGTTTTCATGCCCTCTGGGGGTACAGTTGCATGGGTGGCATTCACAGTACTTTAACCAGGTAGTTTATTTGTATGTGAATTTTGTCTTTCTGTCTGCAGTGAGCCCAATTCTCTCCTCGACTTCTACAATGATTATATTTCACATATACGCACTGTAGCAGAAAGAGGGGCGGGGAGGGATGGGGTGGTCTCTGGATAGAGATGAGAAACAGATTGACTTTTATCTATTGTATTTTAGCGTTCTCCTTTCTACCTCCCCCCGCCTTGCCCCTTTGCCACTTGAGGTGTTAAGTGCGTTTCTTGAGCTCCAGCGGAGACGTGTTAACTGACCAAGCTGGGATTTGCTCTTGAAAATTTCTAGTCTGTATAGCTCAACTTTTCAGTGAAAAACTAGTTTAGCCTTCAAATAAATTACTCTGACCCAGCAAGCAGAAGGGCACTAACTACAATTGGAGTCAATAACTTGGTTTAGAGGAGAGGCGGGGTTCTGTGAGTGCTATGCAATGGAAAAGGAAAAAGGGAAAAGGGTGAGAATTTAAGAAAAAAATATGGTTCTTATTCTTTTTACTGTTTGTACTAACTGTGGTCTCTTAATTTGTTTGACTCAGTCAATAAAACTGTAATATTATATAATTCGTGCCACTGGATGGTGCTATACTGGAATTAGTTGAATGAGTGTGAGGAAAGTTATACAGTAATGAAATAACTTGTAGATTAATCTATTGTGAACAAGTGATTTATTCGTTTAGTGATTTTGTAAAACATCTGTCAGATCAAGATGTATGGTGGCCTTTTTAGATCCCATGTGGGACTATTTGCAGCCTTGCAATTAAAATAAGTTAAATTCTGATTGCTTTGAAACTTGTGAACCTCAAATTAAATTTGTAAACATGGATTGTTGTGTATATTTTCTCCTCGTTTACAGATTAAACGAGACAGCCTCTCATTGGAACATTTATGGGTTTAGTTGTGATTTTCATTTTAGAATGTAACAGTGACATGTGGGAAAATTTGCACAAAGACAGACTTACTAAGAATTTGATTATTAAATGGTTTCCAAGTATTTTTATCTATAGAATCTTGCCTAATGGTCTGTTGGAGGTTCTGATGACGAGTTACAAAAGGAAAGAATAAAATGTGTAAAATGCTTCCTCGAAAGGAATGGTAGTTGGCTATCTGCTTCACTGCATTTACTTAAATGAGTTTCCCCTTTAACTATTGCCTACAAATTGCTCTCTAGCTGCTGTCTAGTTTATTGTAGTAATACTGTGTTTCAAAAGCTAATTATGTATAGAATGTTATTACCTAAAGTGTCATGAAACTGCTGTTAATGTGTGTTGTTCGTGTTTCGTCCTGTACCATACTTGATCTCTCGCCCACTGCCCTCCCAGTTGCAGGTGTTTCTACTGTTGTAACAAAATGTACAGGTTGGAATTGATGTACCTTACTGAGCGCTGTGTGGATAGTAATTGGATTCTTTTTTTTTAAAAAGATGGAAGATGCCCATTCCCTTTTTGACTATAATGTTGGATTGAATGATATCATCCAACTACTTATACGCCAGGCTGGTTCATCACAAAGTACAGTCAGGAAGGAGAAGGATGCTGAGCTCTCTGATACAGATTCTGGATGTGGATCTGGCCAGAGTGAGTCTGACAAGAACTCAAATAATGGTGAATGTGCTATGGAAATGGAAGGTCAGGCAGGGACATCTACACAGCTTGACCTCATTGATCCAGGATATGGTTTGTACAAGGTGAGTCCTGGATCCTTTGGGTGTTTGTTTAACTCAAAAAATAGTGGATGGTATAATCCTTCAGGAAAATTGTGAACCTCAAATCAAATTTGTAAACATGGATTGTTATGCAAATTTTCTCCTTGTTTACAAATTAAACCTTTTCAAGTGTAACCATAGGATGGAATATGTACAAACTAGGAACATAGTCATAGGTAATGTAAAATACACGTCTTGAAGACCATTGCGCTCGATCTTGTACAAATTTTAAAAAATACAGAAAATTTATTATTTACTCCACCTCAATTGAATTTACCGAATTGTTGCATAAGTGCCAAATACTGTGCTGAAAGAATAGGCATTTAAATGATATTTTCAGGAAATCTCAGATTATGATGGAACAGTTGCTTTGATGCATATAAATGTCAATTTTGGAACAGTGCTTCTGAATCTGGCTGCTGTGATTGTACTATGAGTTTTTTTGTTAAAATAAGGGTGTCCTGAGTCTTCCTCAACATAAATTCTGATTCTACTGTACTATGCTTGTTATTTTCACATAACCTAGTAATCACAACTGAGATGAGCTTGTTTTGTAAACTTTTTATTCCCCTTTCAGATCAATGAATGTGTTGATGCTCGAGACATGAACATGGGTGCTTGGTTTGAAGCTGTGGTGGGTAATGTAACATTGGATGAAAGTACAAATAAAACCACCGATAATGAGGAGTCTGCAGATACAAGTAAATCTACGGAGACCAAGGCTGCTGAAGAAGATGTCATTTACCATATTAAATATGAAGAGTATGTCAATAACGTTCTTATTTCTATTAGATTGCTATAAGAAGTGATTTATTTATTAGTTGAGCCATAGTGGCTGCTCTTTGTGAGGATTAAGCAAAAATTGGCTCATGTGAAAGGATGCAAATTGTGTGTTGCCCCTTTTTGAAGCTGAGAAAAATGAGTATTAGCATATTGTAGAAGCTGTATTTTTAACTAAAATTGTTTATTTTGAGTTGAATGTCTTGCATTGAAATCTGTATATTTAATTCTTTCAAGTTACCCTGAAAATGGAATTGTGCAGTTGCGTTCAAAAGATATTCGCCCACGGGCTAGGACAATCCTACAGTGGGAACAACTTCAAGTTGGGCAGGTGGTAATGGTAAACTACAATCCAGATGAACCTAAGGAGCGAGGATATTGGTACGATGCAGAGATTTTGCGAAAAAAAGAGACCAGAACCATCAAGGAAATCTACACAAGAATTCTCTTGGGGTGAGAATTCTGGCACAGTACCATATATTGTAGCTTGTTTCTGGAGGATGCATGAATTCATTTGGTTACTGCTTGAGTGCAAGTTGATATAATTTTGAGAGGCTATGTTGTCAGAATTGGCTTACCTGTCTGCTGTCAGAATTACCCCTGTCCTGGGGTATGTTGTAGAAGCCTGATATCTAATTAAAGTTTGTTGCATTTGTGAGATGTCCATGGATGGGGGAAGTTTAATGCAATCTGTGACTACAATATAATGACCAGGTTGGGGTGATTTATTAATTCAATTCACGTTTTCCAAATATTCTCATTTTTGAAGTGCCTTGAGATGCTTTTACATGATAGGTGCTATGTAAATGTGGTAATGGGATAATTAAAACAGCTTGCTTAATTTTGAATACATGACTTCTGGTGCTTAATAAGCTATTACTGCAGCATTAGATGATTGACACTGTTGATTTATCAGCTTTGGATACAAACCTTTTGAACATTGTACTGTTGGGAATCTTTAGAAATACTTTAACACACTGAGATGTCAACAGTTCATCATCAAATCATCTGATTTCAGACATTAGCCCCTCTTTCTCTCTGGTGCTACACTTTGCTCTGTTTCATGTAGAGTTATTAATCTTCTGCACTGTCTGATTCTTGTAGGGATGCTGGGGATTCCTTAACTGATTGCAAGATCATGTTGGTGGATGAAATCTACCAGATTGAGAAACCAGGAAGTGCTGGAGGAGCTGTATCTGAAAGCCCTATGAAAAGTAAGATTCTTAATGAAGCTCAGTTACTGTAGAAACTAAAGAAATTTGTCTTACCTTGGGTACCCTTCCCCCATTAATAGTGTTCCAGGATGTAGCTAGCTTCCTCAATAATGTGTGACTGGTATAGAGAAGGGAAATCTCTGATGGTTAGCAGAATGCAATGTTCTAATGCCCAGCTGACCCCAAAACATTGGTAGCATCTCCTGTAATAAGTCTGGCATTTTTCAACAGAAAGTGTGGACTGTCATTTGTTTTAGCTATGCCAATGATGTACTCCTGTCAGGAGTCCTGTAGCTTAGACCACTCATCACAAGCGAGAAACAGCGAAATGTTGGGCAGTTTCCTTAGTCCACACGCCTCTCTTTATCTAGCAGCAAGTAGGAACTTGGTTGTTAGTCGACTGGTGGATCCCTTTTCGGGAATAATAATTCCTTCACAAAACATATTGGTCACTCAATCCACAACAATTTGTGGGGCACTACCTATGCGCAATTGGCTGCCATGTTTTGTCCACAAAACATACAGTCAATTCACTTTACAGTATATTCTGTAAAGCGCTTTGACACATCTCGAAGATGTCTAAGGCACTAGCTATATCTAATACAAATATTATTAGTGGTAGCTAAGTCAGATGTCATTTGAGTTTACAGTTGGGAAACTTCTGACATGTTAATAAGGGTATTTTTGAGCATGATGGTGCCATAATTATAAATTATTTTTTCATGTTTCATAGGACAGAATGGACCTGAATGCAAACATTGCAAAGATAACCCCAACAAGGAGTGCAAACAGTGTGCTTGCCATACGTGTGGTGGGAAACAAGATCCAGAGAAGCAGCTACTGTGTGACGAATGTGACATGGCTTATCACACATATTGCCTCACCCCTCCCCTCACAATCGTACCTGAGGATGAAGACTGGTAAATTGGGATTGATTTGTACTCTTTGGCTGGAGAGATGGAGAAGTGATATTGTTGGGCATAATGTTGTATAGCTTTTAAAAATATTCAAAAGGAATACTAATGCTGCTACAAAGGTTGTATAGAGAATCCAGGGTTTTGCTAGGGGTCATTTCTATTTTTCATCTCCTTATCAGTCTTTGTTCTACCAATGCCAAGAGTGTCTGATGGAAGTGGAGTTTAACCCATATGCTCGCTCACATTTGTTAATATGTCAGTGTGGTTTTGCACTCAATGAGCTGTATTGACGAGACAAATTTCTGTGACAGACTGCGCAGGACCAATTTGATTAATTGTCCTCAAAGCATTTGTGTTATGGAAGGGTCCTAACGTGCGTGGTTTCCTAGGATGAAATTAACACTCATGCTGTTACAAATCAATTGTATGTTTCACTTCTTAATTGTGAAAAATGTAATATTTTTTTGATCTGAATATAAGATGACCTTGATTAGAATTTCGTCTTTCCCCATCTCTGATTTTCATAAGTATATTGGGAGGGGGGAAGTTTAATGAAAATTAGAAGATTTTTATTTTGTATAATTTTAGAACAATATTCCAGTAAATTAATATTACTCTAATAACTGATTACAGAATTTTAAAATGCTGGCAATTCTGTTCTCCACAGCTTTCATGAAATCACATTATATCAGATGTTCCCCCCACTCCCTTTCTATCTGTTCAGTAGTGACTTCCTTTGAGCTGCTAGCGGCTTACAGCTGAGTTGCAGAATGTGATAGACTCACAGGCTGTGTTTTTGCCTTTTCACAGGTACTGTCCACTATGTAAGATTGACACCAATGAAGTGGTGCTGGCTGGTGAGAAACTGAAGGAGAGCAAGAAGAAAGCCAAGATGGCCTCTGCTAATTCTGCTTGTCAGCGAGACTGGGGCAAGGTAAGGAATGCTATGGAAGAGCTTTCAAAATGTTTCATTCTGTTTAGTAAATAGAAATTAGCCCAGCTGCTTTGCTTTCTTGCACTCTTAAGGTTAGTGGATATATACTGTTCAAAGGGCCTGCAGTTTGGTTACTAAGATACTAAAAGTATCATGGTACATCTCCAGGTAGCAGGATTTTTGAATATAGTAAACAGCAACAAAATTATATTTTGTTCGCCAGGAGGACGTCCCAAGGTGCTGGACAGTCAGTGTTTCAGACTCAGGGTGGGGGGGTGGTCAGGATTGGGGAGGGTGGAGGGCAGGGGACGAGGGAGGGTGATCGAAAGCACTGTCGAAGAGGAGGGTCTTGAGGTGGGTCTTGAAGGAGGCAAGGAAGGGGGAGAGGTGGAAGGACTGCAGGACAGAGTTCCAGTGGGTGGGGGCAGAGTGGCAGAAGGCCCGCCCATCTAGGATGGGGTGGGGCTGGCGAGATGGGGAACGTGAAGCAGACCGGAGCCCTCTGAGCAGAGGGAGCGGGCAGGATGGTAGGGGGTTTAGGAGGTTGCGGCGGTAGTGGGGAGCAAGGCCATAGATGACTTTGAAGGTGAGGACCAGGGTCTTGAACTGTATTCTCTGTATGATGGGAAGCCAGTGGAGTCTGGTGAGGATGGGGGTGATAGGGTCATGGAACCTGGTGTGGGAGAGGAGACTGGCTGCAAAGTTCTGGGTGATCTGCAACCTATTGGAGGGAGGAATTGGTTTTGCTCACTTATTACTAAGAATAGAATTCATCATGTGCTGGCTGTTTTAAAGAGCTATTCCATTCAGCTCCATTCAAATTAGTTCTTTTTTGATATCTTTCTAGTTTTCTCTTGAATGCCAATCTGGATCGTGCATTGACTACAACTCCTGGCATTTAACAATCTTCTGTGTAAAAAGAATTCCTAATTTTGTTGTTCTCTGTTTATTGATTTGCTCAGAGGAAAACATTTCTTCCTAGCTACTTTCTTCCCTCTGGCTAGTGCAAATTGTGCAAGTACCTGCTCATTGGTCAAACATCTTATCTCTGGTATCATCCTTGTAAATCTTTTTTACCCTGTGGCCCTGATATTCTTCCTATAGTGGTTAGACCAGACAGTTTTTACACTGCACTGAAATTCTTTTTTTAAAATACCTTGAACCCCAATTTTTGATCTGTTGTCCCTTAATTTTAAAGCGTCTTCACATCTGTGTAAATGACCTCAACTTTGAAAGTGGTCTTCACTCACTCAAGTGTTTTTTGTTCAAATGTTACTATCATAATGCCTTTTGAGCAACAGCACATTTCCATACTAATTTTTCTCTGTACTTTGTCCTAGGGTATGGCCTGTGTTGGTCGCACAAAAGAGTGTACAATTGTTCCCTCTAACCATTATGGGCCTGTACCCGGTGTACCTGTTGGAAATCAGTGGAAATTTAGAGTTCAGGTATGTTTTCAGCCGCTAAAATTAGATTAGGTCATTCATTTCATGGCTTCTTGTGGACCATTGCCTTGCACAAAGTGACTGCTGTGGCTGCCAACAAACTACAGTCTGTATACTTTACAGTAAATTCTGTAAAGTGCTTTGAGAGATCCTCTTGACATGAAAAGTTCTAATTCAAGAACTATTTATAAAAAAAATTACCGTTTAACGCATAAGACTTGTGGACACAAATTGAGAAGGGTTTGAAAAACCGCACATGACATTCAGAACAGTAGGTTGAATCCTAGTCTGCTGAATTAGATGATTTTGGGGTGATGTTTCAGTAACTATCAACTGTACCAATTAGAATTGAACTTCATTACCCTGGATTAAGGGGGAGAGGACAGCCAAGCTCCACTGGATATTGTCAGTGCAAAGGAAACTAGGTCATTTACTGCGTTCAGAAGAGTAGAAAAGCAGACTTATTTTCTTTGCAGATTTCTTCTATTGTATTGTGGAAATGTTACATTGCTGATTGATTTTTGTACTGGCATTTAAAGGTGAGTGAATCAGGAGTTCATAGACCACATGTGGCAGGGATTCATGGTCGGAGCAATGATGGAGCATATTCTCTTGTGCTCGCGGGAGGATACGAAGATGATGTGGTGAGTAGAGAAGATTGTGGTTAGACGTGTAAATTTAGATTCTTAAATTATTTAAAATACCTGCGCAAGATAACAAGGTGTTCAAGATGCAAGGAAATCGATTTTAGGCCTCTTATTAAAAGAATCATAGATTTGTACAGCACAAAAAGAGGCCATTCGGCCCATCGAGTCTATGCCGGCTCTTTGAATAGAGCAATGTAATGTCAGTCCCACTCCCCAGCCGTTTCCCCATAACCCTGGAAACCCATCCTCCTCAAATACCCGTCCAGCGCGTTTTTAAAAGTAGTTATCGAATCGGCCTCGACCGCCCTTTCAGGCGATGTGTTCCAGATTCGAACAACTCGCTGCGTGAAAAAATTTCTTCTCACCTCCCCTTTGCTTCTTTTAGAGACTCTTTTGAATCTGTGACCTCGAGTCACCGACAAGGTTTGCCTTTAACAAATCGGTGCTGGCTGTCCCTAATTAACCCATATTCCTCTAAGTGAAGATTTATTCTGTCCGGATTATAGTCTGACAATTAACTATGAATGAATGTAATAAAACTCAGTACTTGGGTTTTCTTGGGAACCATTCAGTTATAGTCGTGTCATTGACATGTATCCATTTTTTGTGCGTGAATCTCTAAAATGTGATTTAAATTTTTGCTGTTATATGTAGGCCTGTATCTCAAAGGGTGATCATCCTGGCCAATCATTGTACTATCTAATTGCCAATGATATAGAGATTGGAGTTTTTTTCAGGAAATAAATAGTTCAAAGAGCTTTGACTCTTCTCTTATAGGATCATGGGGGTGATTTCACATACACTGGAAGTGGAGGACGTGACCTCTCTGGCAACAAACGTACTGCAGAACAGTCATGTGATCAGAAGCTCACCAATATGAACAGGTACTAATTTTTAAGGATTAATTTACTTTGTAGTTAGACAATGTTTGTGTGACAAAAAAAGCACAACAATGGTTGCATATGTCTGGAATGGTTGTTTGTTTACTTCTGCAATTCTTTCTGAACTGAGTGTGACACTAGGCTAGAGCTTTTCAATATGGTTTTACTGTGCTGGATGTGCAAACTTACCTTTATTTAAAAATCTTCAATGCACAAAATTTCATTCTGAGCATTATGCTTGAAAAAGTACCCAAGGTGTCGAGTGTAAGACCGGGTTCTGTTTTTGCAATTCATAATTGTAGAGGCTCAGATTAGAGTAGCCTAATTGCTAATATTTTCTACTGGAATTTCTTATCGGCATCTTTTCAAATAGGAATGTTGTGTTTTAGCGTACTGTTTTTATTTCTGTTTTACTGTTTAGATTTTTGTGCCCAATTCTGCCTTTTAGACTTGTTTTAAGTGCTGGGGATATCTGGAGCAAGCTATTCTAAAGGAACCAAAACCTTTCCTCTTTTACAGGGCTCTGGCGCTAAATTGTAACGCTCCCATTAATGACAAAGTGGGCGCTGATGCTAAAGACTGGAGAGCGGGCAAACCGGTCAGGGTCGTGAGAAGTGCCAAAGGCCGTAAACACAGCAAGTATGCGCCAGAAGAAGGAAACCGCTATGATGGCATTTATAAGGTGTGCACAAATTAAAAGTTTAATTATGAATGAAATATTGTATAATGTTATAGCTCCAAAATAGGCCATTGAACTCCGACTCGCACTGTACATTTACTAGACGTTCATACATTATAATTAATACTGGCAGTTACAGCTCTTGACTTTTAGACTAAGCTATCAAACAATGGCTTGCAGAAAAGTTTTCTTGGTTCCCCTAAAACTGGTCCATCCAATATCAACATTGTGAATGTTATGTGATCTAAAACAAATGATATGTGAGTTTTTCATGTTGCAACACTGGTGTCTGCTGTAGTCTTGGTTCCTGTGAAGTGAATGGGTAACTCAGATCAACCGTATCTCTGGAAGCAGAAGCATTTGTGTTTTTAGATATGTTGGTGCTGTTTTTAGAACAGATTGGATGTTCAGCCTGCTTGTGCAGGCTGGTACTGCAGGTTTCTGATCATTGGTTTGCATGTTCCTTATTCAAACATTATGGAATATCTCGTAGCCAGAAAATAAAATGGCTTTCAAACTGCAATCGTACACTTTGATATGGGCAGTCTGTTTGTTTCACCAGTGCTCTGGCTTAATTGAGACAATCCAGGAGCTCAGGGTATTATATAAAGTTTGTTTTTTAAAAAAAAAGTAAAGCTGTTAATACCATGGGGTAGTCTAAGAAAATGTCTTTCCTGATTTTGTGTGACTGAGTTCATTCACCATCATTAACCCGTAATGTCTTTTGAGTTGTGGTATGAAGAATGACCACTTTCTGGGAGTGGTCACATGCATAGTAAATGATGGAGAAACTAATTACTGTGGTTTCTGAACCAGGTGGCAAAGTACTGGCCCGAGACAGGCAAGTCTGGGTTCTTGGTTTGGCGATATTTGTTAAAACGGGATGATGAAGAACCAGCCCATGGACTAAAGATGGCAAAGAGAGGCTGAAGAAGCTTGGTTTAACAATTCAGGTAACATAAATCATTAATTTTGTGACTTAATAGGCTACAAGTTAAACACAGTAAAATGGGTATTTGTGTATCTTCTTAATGCAATACCGCAATAAAATCTGCGGTATTCCATTTGCTAAAGTTTGATCGTAAGAGCAGGTTAGTGAGTTTTAGCAGTGCTAACTGCTGAATTTTCAGCATTTCTCTTATCGTGAAATTTAGTACATTAATAACAAATCTTGTTTAACAGTACCCTGAAGGTTACCTTGAAGCTGTGGCTAATAAAGATAAGGAAAATAAAAAACGAGAGATAGAAGATCCTGAGACGCCAAGCAAAGGGAAAAGGAAAAGAAAATCAAATGCTGCAGGTTTGTAGATTGTGAGGGACTCCAGCCTATTACTGATTTGTAAAAGATACAAGACTGATGTTGTACCAGTACACACTGCCAATATGTTTACCTGATAGTCCGTGGTGAATTTTGATCTTTGAAAATTGCTGCAGTCACCTGAATACCAATTGGTTATGAATTTTCATGAGACTAGTGACCTGTCTTGCTTTATTCAGGGGTTTGGTGACTCAGGTTTGCTGCAGTTGTTTGAGAGTGTGACCTGGTGTGAATGTCCTCAGCCATTCACTGGGAATGCTTAATGGATCAAATTTGTAAAAGGTAGCAATCTACTATAAAATTCTTGTTTGTTTAAGGAATCCTTTGTTTATTTCAACGAATACTTTAATTATCCTATTGGGTTAGTCATAATTTCAAGAATTAACATTATGTATTTTTTAAATATTATGGGAATGCAATGAGTATTTGTTTTAGCATTGACATTAACTTAATATATTAATAGTAACAACATGGTGTAATACTAGAAAGATTAAATGCAACTATTTTAATTTTCTGATCTTGATGTTCTATGTTAAACGGGGACCACTGAGTTTCTCCATTGCTTAAAGACACTGATTTATACAGACAAGGTTGCATGTTCGAATCTACGTCTGTGGTTAGTTGGCTACAGCAGTTGGGAATTGTGAGAGCGAGCACCTGGGACTCATTCTCTTTGCTATCCCTGTGAGAGTGGCTGGCCTGTTATCAATAATTCCCTGTGGTGGTGCATCTGAGATGGGCAGCCTGGACATATGGAGGATCACTTGTGAACATATTCTGTCTCCTTGGCCAAGTGCTGGCACGACAATATATTGCCGACATTGTCTTTAAAAAGGTCTTCAGAAAAATGACTCACAATTGACAATCCATGAGCGAGAATCTGCTTAACTTGTAAATGCTGGGGTTAACCAGGATGTTCTTTAAACTCTGTAGTACAGGGCAATTTTGTTACAATGCAGTGTCGGGAGTCGATAAACTCAGACCCCTATTTTTTTTAAAAATGGTCGGAAAAATGACTACCAGGTCATTAGGTTATTGATGTTGCTTCCTTGTGCCTGAGAGGCTGACAGTGAAGTGAGTGGGGTTAGAGAGGAGCCAATTGCTAAGGGAATTGTCACTTAATTAATTAATTAATTAATTTATAAGTTAATTATTAAAAAGTTGTTGGGATTGTTGAAAATTGCTCAGCAATGGAGTGTGGGGTGGACAAAGTGTTCCAAGTTGAATGGGATGAATGCCACTCATTTTTCTATACTGTACAATAAGTCTCGTTTTCTGAGAAACAAGCAGTTTTTGTTGTATTGAAGTGCTGCCAGAAACCACTGTTTTACTAAGCATGCTGATTATGAGGTTGGTTTAAGCAAAATACAGTCTGCTGGCCTAGATTCAAGATTTTGCAAATATGCTTGCCACTGATCCTTTACTCAAAAGGGCAATAAGTTTCATCATCTTGAAGGGATTTGACTTTTTATGAAGTTTCACCAACCCCACTTTCCTTACATTGCTGTGCTGTGTACCTATAATCAATTAGGTTTTCAATCTCTACTTCTCTGTTCACAAGTTGTGTCTTAGCTGTGAGCTTCCTCCCTTTCCTCCTTCAAGGCCGGTCTCAAGACCTTTCTCTTTGACCGTGCCTTCAGCTCCCCTCTCGACTCTCTACCCCCTCCTCGCTCCCTCCCTTCCCTCCCCCTGACCATTTCCCCCCAATGCTCGGGTCCTGACCCAACTGTACAGCGCCTTGGGACGTCCTCCCGACGTGAAAGGCGCTCAATAAATGGAATCTTGTTGTTGTTGTTGTTCCATGAAGCCCAGCTGGTTCCTTTTTTCAGTGGAATATGCAATTGCTTTTACACTAATATTTTCTGATTCTGCAGACTTGCTCATACATTTGGACGTTCAACCTCACAAAATGTTTATTATCTTCCAGATGAGAATGAATTTACCTCATCGCCTCGGTCTGCGAAAGGTACGCCAAAGAAACAGAAGTTGGAAGCATTCAAACTGACGGCAGAGCAGAAAAAAATCATTAAAGAAGATGAAGTGAATAAAAAGCTGTGGGATGAGGCATTGCTATCCCTTAAGGATGGCCCGGTAAGGAGTGGACTGGTTTGAATATTTTGAATTGCATGGCATAAATCAGAAGGCAACCATTTAGTCCATCAAGCCTATGCTGATGCTGTTTCCTTCCAAGCCCTATGTATTATATTCTCTGCTCTCATCCAAATATATGCCAAATCCCTTTTAAATGTCTGACTTTAATCAGTCACTTATGGCAAAGTATTCTATGTTCCAATAATCTCTGCATGTAAACTAACCTTCCCTAAAAGACTTAATCAATGTTCTCCCTCTAACTCCTTTGAAAACACAATTGGTACATTGTCTATTTGTTTGCATTTCCTTGCATTTGAAATTGCGCCTCATTACAACAAACAAGTATATTCTGCAATTTTTAAAAAAATCTTTACCAGAGTAACTATCATAACTTGCAAGTATATATAGTGCCTTTCAAATAAAACTGAACCTCAAAGTTTATTGCAAAATAGATTAGATATCAAACTAAATGTTAGGTAAACACAGCAGCTAACCTATGCCAGCAATGTAGCATAAACCCATTATGTGAATCCTGCATGTTACAGGGAACTAGTGAGCGCCACTATGTTGGAAGCAGATTTTTAAAAAAAAATAAAACAAATTTATGTTTACAAAGACTAATTTTCTTTTAACAATTTGCTTCTCCAGAAATTTCTGTTAAAGTTGGAAGAAACGTTCTTGTGCATTTGCTGTCAGGAGGTCGTGTTTCAACCGATAACAACAGACTGTCAACACAATGTTTGCAAAGTAAGCACTATAGAATCAGGACAATAATGCTGTTGTGATTACCCCAGAAACTGAGCTATGGAGATAATAGTATAAAATTATGGAGATAACAGTAGAAAAGGTGTCGAAGATGTTTGAATAATTATGTGAAAGCATGTTAGTTGCATTTGATGAAGGAACATAGTAAATTTGTTGGATGCAATAGAAATTTCAACTCTCCCTTAAATCTTTATACAGTAGAAGTTTATTATGTTGTGCATTGTTATAATTCAGTTGGTATTTTCTGCTATTTTCTAATCTAAAATTCCAACATTGCGCTATTTGGATACATCATTGCGTTTCAAATTGCACTTAATCTCATTGTTTCACTTTGACGTATCAGTGCAACAATGTGATTTACAAGCGCATCGACACGCGGTGGAGTTTGCCAACTTGCGACGCACATCCACAGTGACGTCGTGATCGGTCACAATGTAGAAAGCGACTGCCTCGTAGGCCCTTTCGATTGCAATTGTTATAAGGCAGACTGGAGCCATTGGTGGGCGAGCCTTCAGCCTCTGCCCCCACTCTCTGGAACTCCATCCCACAATCCCTCCGCCTTGCCCCCCCTCCCTTGCCTCCTTCAACACCCATCTCAAGACCCTCCTCTTCAACTCTGCCTTTGTACCCCTACCCTCCCCATCCTCCACCCCCCCCACCCCAATCCCAACCACCAGCTCGGGTGCGGATCCCTGACTGTCCAGCGCCAGGGGACGTCCTCCTGACATGAAAGGCGCTATACAAATGTAATTTGTTGTGGTTGATGTTGTGATCTTACCTTGTAATGGGGCTCTACTGTACAATAATTCTTTGTAAGGGAGTAACTGATATAAATCTCTCAGTTTGGATTTCTATATGCAAGGAAACCAAAATAGGTGGTTTATGCAGTGTCTTGCATCCTATTGTTTTTTCTGATTTCCTTTTTTTCCCCCCCAATCCCAGAGCTGCTTACAACGTTCGTTCAAGGCTGAAGTGTACACGTGTCCTGCCTGCCGCCATGACATTGGTAAAAATTGCAGCATGGTGGTTAACAAAAGTCTGCAGACTCTTCTAACCCAGCTGTTCCCAGGATATGGTAATGGTCGGTGATGCCTTCCATCTCATGGTTCTCTTTCTCTCTCCCTCTCGTTCTCACCTACTAAATTTGCTCATAAGATTTGTTTAAGTGCGTGGCTAATCTGGCCTACAGAGCTTGACTGGAGGACAGATCGACTAATGAACCCAGGGTAGCTGACTTCCACTTTCCCCCCCCAATCTTTCGGTGCAGCACGTACGAACGTCAAGTTTCCGTGCTTTCTTTTTTTTAGCCTAGCAGCTTGTCTAGATGTGCAGACCAATTTCATTGGTGTAACACTGTGGGGAAATTTTGAAAAAATACTACCTCAAAGTGGGGATACTTTTCTGGGGGTTTTCTTTGGCCAGTGTAGGTTCAGCTGAACACTGCCTATCTAGTCAGCCTTGATTCTTTTTGCTTGATCAGTTAAGCCATCACATAAGTGCCTTAGCCCTTGTTGAAGGCTGGGCTGTGAACGTCTTCCTAGCACTGAAATGTTTCGAACTGCAAAATAGCACATTGTTTGACAAACTTAGCTGTGCAGATCATTTTTTTGTCAGAGTATTTTAGCAGGGAATATGCAGGTTTTCGATGTACTGTTTTTTTTATATATAAAACAGTAAGTAACCTTTTGGTTGTGGTCTGTAATTCAGAAATGTAAATTTTTTCCATTTATTAATGATTTTCATTTATTGTTGATGTTAATGATCTTCCCACTCTGGTGTACTGTGAAAAACAATCCTATATTGAAATTTGCAAGCCAGGATGTAACCAAGCCGGTGGGGAGACCTGAAACTTTCATGTCTACCTTTCTTATAAAAGGATTTCTTCACATACCACATTCTGACAATACCAAAGGATGCAGTATGGTACCTCAACATTGTAATGGACATCATTCCATACTTCAGATTTAGGCTCTGAGGGAGTCAAACTGGACATAATCAACTTTTTTTTTAATAAATTCATTTTATTGTACTGTTTAAAGACCTTAAAAAATCATTAGTACGTCTGTGGAAAATTCTAGAATTTCATGGGATATCACTTTAATAAATGCTGTGTTTATGTGCTGACTTTTTAAAATAAAATTTTTCTTGCTTTTCACTTGTGGTGCTTGTGTCATTGTGGGTAAATTGTTTCAGTGTCTTGGGACATCCTCCCAACATGAAAGATCCTATACAAATTTAATTTGTTGTATGAAGAAGGAACTAGAATATCGCACATATTGTGGTTAGCACTTTAAAATGAGGTTTGCAGAATATCCAGTGCGCTTGCTTTAACCCCATTTGTCTGATAATAGCATTGACCAATTTCTGTTGTGGCGGGAAAACGTCTCGGATAATAGGGATTTTTTTTTATAGAGAATAACGTCAACACACCCTTTGGAGAGAGAGGAATTTCTGTATTCTCGGATTCTGTTTATAGTTGCAAAAGTTCATAGACTCTAATTGTATTGTAAGGGGAAGATGTGATGCTTATTTTATGTGAATAGAACTCTGGGCATGAGTGCCCCAGAATTGCCTATGCATTGTACATGGTTTCCTCTAATCTACTGCTCTCACTGGATCAGGAGGGCTTATTTCGCAAGAGTGGTTGCAAATACATAAGTCAAGAGATCTATAAAGCAGTATACACTAACATCTACACAGCAGTGCTCAGCAATACTGGATAGATTTTCTTCTGCTAAAATGCGTGTACTGAGAGGTGGCATTCCAGGTAGTGTCTTCATTAACTAGCTCATAAGGAGATTGTTTAAACATCATCTTTAAAGCACAAAAGTTAGGATACCGGAGAGCCATATAAAGGTAGCTGTCTGTAATACAGTATTTAGGATCATCGGACAATCTGTTTACACATGCTGCTTCTCTTGACTACACGAATGAAGATAACACTGAATGATTACTTTGTGATGGTTAATGATTAACCAATTGGAGAAGCTCAAGATCTTTGTTAATACCTGTAGAATTGTACTTTTTTTAAATTCATTTTTATTTATCGTTGTGAAAGGAGCGCTGAACTGTTCATAATGTAGTCAGTTTGCTTTATTTTATCTTCCGTAAAGAATTTTTATTAGATGTGTTCAATGATCCATGTTCTGTTGTGGATTACTGGCAGCGATAGTAAGTTTCTCTATGTGTAATTCAGAATGTAACCGATTCACTGTCCATTGATTGTTTCCAGACCCATTGTCACACAAAAGTGAATTTTGTGGGGATGCTTCAAATTTGCTCTGCAACTTCTGCCTCAAATCTCCATACGTTACAGCCACAACAAAAAGAAGCATATATCAGAAGTCAGGAAAATAATCAAAGAAACAAACAAGTTGGGATTGATAGGATATAAATGTTGAAAATTGAGTTTCCTCGTGTCTTAATAGGAAAGGCACAGGTGTGATACTGCACTGTATTGATCAATAAGATCCTGAATTCAATCTGTATTAATATGATCTCAGACAAAATGCCAGTAGGAATGTTGAAACTCCCCTGGGACCTGGACTAAAGTTTTGCATAGATTGATACCAGTGACCCCTCCTGGAGAACATGTTTAAGCATAGCATGGTGGTTGATGACTGGACGTGTTTGTGATGCCATCACGGTTGGAAGAGCCTGTCAACATTCACTGACCAGTGAAGAATCCCTACTTGAGTTAGGAACCAGTGGACTATTGGATACCTGGAACTATTCCCAACCAAGACTGCACTTTCCAAAGGAGAGAAAAAGCTACATACAGTGAGTGAAATGCTGAGATTAAACACATGAAGTGACAGTTTTCAAACAGCTCTAAACAGGAAGAACTGTTTACCATTGATCACAGGATGAGTTTTGATGGATATCATGGAGGATGATCTCCCATTGAGTTTAGAGCAAGTTGTGTTTGGGGACCCAGCTTCAGTGCTCTGTCACTTCCACTTTATACGCACCTGCATTGTAATTTGCATTGTTTGCAGATTTGGAATTGAGATCAAGTGATAGTGGGGAGGAGGGTTAATACATCCATTTCACTCCCAGAATTTGATTAATTTTAGTATGCAAAAGTGATTATCTTTTACATGCATATTGAGCATAATTCAATAGTAAAGCATTTAAAATACTGCAGCAGATAATTATAATTCAATTTAGATTTTTAAAGACGATATTTGTTTAAATAAAAAATAGCCATGTGTTGCTTCTCTTGCCTCCGGTGAGAAGAGAATGCCGCGGTTTAAAGTCCAGCTCTTGAAGGCGACCATACGCTGTACTTGTACTCGACCATTTGCATTTATATTTTGCCTTTCGAAGAATTTCGCAGAGATGATGGGGAGCACAAAGCAGGTCGGAGCGGAAGGATAACTTAAGATCACTGACGAAAGATACAATCGCCCGTAATCTCTGGAACTCCACCTTGGAGTCCCTTTGACTCGTCCCCTCCCTCTCCGCATTCAAGACCAACCGGCAACGCAAAGCACTTTGAGACGTCCTCCTCACGTGAAAGATGGCGGATAAATTGTAATTGTTTGTTGCAAGCGGCTTAAAGGGGAGGGAGAAGAAAGAGCCAGGGGGAGTCGGAGAGTGAATTCCAGAGAAAGGGAGTCCCAATGGCCGGAGACGGTGGGGGCCGTCGAGTAAATGTAACGAAACTGGAATCTTGCAGTAATAATCCTTGCCCTTGATATAAAAGCGCCTCATCGCGTTGACGAAACGTCTCAAAAAGCGGAACATCCGGTCAAGTGAATTGTCGGTGTGTTTTGTGGGCGAAACGTGGAAGCCAATTGCGTCCAACAGCGACCCCCCAACCCCAACCCCCCACCACAAACACTCCCGGATCGAAGCGACCAATCTTTTTTTCACGTAAGGGATCATTACTCCCCCCCCCCTCCCCGCGCCCCCCCACCCCATTTAACGCGAGGGTTAATTCCCTTAAGAAGCTTCTCAGCGATTGTATCTCGCGAGCTGCCGCTCGCGTCCTGGTTGTCCGCCCGAGCCCTGGTAGACGACGACGATGATGATGACGATGATGAAGAGTGATCTTGATGCCCAATCCCACACAGCGGGAGGGACCACCCAGAGCTTCCGAAGTAACAGCCTGAGCACAGCTCCACCCATCACTACAGGTGTGTGTGGTGGGGGGGGGGGGGGAGTGATGTGGGGGAGTGTTGGGGTGGAATGATGTGGTGGAGTGATGGGGTGGGGGGGTGGAGTGATGTGGGGGAGTGATGGGGTTGGGGGGATGTGGAGTGATGTGGGGGAGTGATGGGGTTGGGGGGGGTGTGGAGTGATGTGGGGGAGTGATGGGGTGGGGTGGGGGGAGTGATGGGGTGGGGGGGTGTGGAGTGATGTGGGGAGTGATGGGGTTGGGGGGGTGTGGAGTGATGTGGGGAGTGATGGGGTTGGGGGGGGTGTGGAGTGATGTGGGGGAGTGATGGGGTTGGGGGTGTGGAGTGATGTGGGGGAGTGATGGGGTTGGGGGGGGTGGAGTGATGTGGGGGAGTGATGGGGTGGGGGGGGGGGTCGGCTCTCACCTCACTTCGGCGGAACGATACGGGAGCCGCTCACCGAGGGCCGGACGGCCAAACCAAACAGCAGTGGGGGGGGGGTCCGCGCCCGGGGCCCGGTTTCCCCTTTTTAATGCACGAGGTGCGGTCGGTTGCATTTCGTCTGCGGGTGGGCGGCCCGACTGTGTTGAAGCGGGGGGGGGGGGATTGGGCACTACTTGCGGGCGCGCGCGCGCGGCGGCGGCGGCGTCATCGCGCGGCGGCGGTTGTTCTTCTCACGTCACCCCCCTCCCGGCGCGCGACAACCAAACTTAGCGCCGGAAGAGAGGGCGGGACGGTGAGCGGTGGTCCAATCACCGGGTCGATCTGCCTCGGGGGCGCTTGTCAATCAAGAGGGAGAGCCAATCACGGAGGCCGATGGTGCTGGTGGTGGGAGGAGGCGGGTATTCGGCGCGGCCGGGGTTGAGGTTAGGTTGGCCGGTGTGTGAGGAGAGAGGGGGGCGATGGGGGAGGGGGAGGGGGAGCAGCTTTCTGTTTAATGTTCGGTGCTTCGGCGTATTTTCTCTCTCTCTCTCTCTCTCTCTCTTTCGCTCTTTGGCTTTTATTTTATTTGTCTGTCTTTGAGCGACGTTCAGTTCTCCGTCGAAAAAGGTGGGGAGACGCGAGGCTTGAGGTGGCGGCGCCGCGGTGAGTAAGGTTTCCCCTTCTCTTCATCTCCCCCTCACCCCCCCTCTCACCCTCCCCTCCCTCTCTCTCTCTCTCTCTCTCTCTCTCTCGGCGATGGCGATGTGGGAAGGTACCGGCGGTCGAATTGTGTGTGTGTGTGTGTGTGTATGTGTGTGTTCAGGGGTTTGAAATGGTCTCATGGAGGCTCAGGCCTAGAGAAGGAGAGAGAGAGCGACCCCCCCCCCCACTAAGCGGGGCAGTCAGCCACAAGCCCCCTCCCCCCCGTCACCCCCTTCCCCCCTCCCCGTCATCCCCCCCCCCGTCACCCCCCTTCCCCCTCCCCGTCACCCCCTTCCCCCTCCCGTCACCCACCCTTCCCCCTCCCTGTCACCCACCCTTCCCCACTCCCTGTCACCCCCTTCCCCCCTCCCTGTCACCCCCCTTCCCCCTCCCTGTCACCCCCTTCACCCCTCCCTGTCACCCCCCTTCACCCCTCCCTGTCACCCCCCTTCACCCCTCCCTGTCACCCCCTTCACCCCTCCCTGTCACCCCCCTTCACCCCTCCCTGTCACCCCCCTTCACCCCTCCCTGTCACCCCCCTTCACCCCTCCCTGTCACCCCCCTTCACCCCTCCCTGTCACCCCCCTTTCCCCCTCCCTGTCACCCCCCTTCCCCCTCTCCGTCACCCCCTTCCCCCCTCCCCGTCACCCCCTTCCCCTCCCTGTCACCCCTCTTTCCCCCTCCCTGTCACCCCCCTTCACCCCTCCCTGTCACCCCCCTTTCCCCTCCCTCGTTCCCCCTCCCTCGTTCCCCCTCCCTCGTTCCCCCCTCCCCTCCCTCGTTCCCCCTCCCTGTCCCCTCCTTCCCCCCCCTGTTTCCCCCCTCCCTGTCATCCCCTCCTTTCCCCCCTCCTTGTCACCCCTGCCCCCCGTCACCCTTTCCGCCCTCCCTGTCACCTTAAAACCACTCATTGCTGGGCTCCAGGGGGTCATAATGGAGCTCCTCTCCTCCATCCCATCCGACACAGCAGTGACCCCCAGTTATTAACTTTGAACACCCCCCAATATGTGTGATTCAATTCACTTGGTATCAGATTAAATAGCACTGTTTTGTTGGGGATGGAACAAATAGGAGATTGGTTTCAATTTTGATTTGCAAAACAACAGCCGCAAATTAGATTTGTATTGTGCCTTTCACGTCTAGAGGACATCCCAAGGTATTGGACAGTCAGGGGTTTGGGATCAGGAGAAAATAAAGGACATTCAAACCTGTCTATATTTAAGACCCACAATGAGACAGAATTTTGAATTCCGGGTCAAGGCTGGCACGGGGGAGGAGTGTTAAATTGATAAAAGTACCATCCTTTGGATGAGATCTAATTCCTCCCTGTCTCTTCGGGTAAATGTTAATGGTCCCATAGCAATATTGGAGGAGAGAAGCAAGTTTCTCCTGGTGTCCTGGCCAACAACCTCCAGATAAATCAGTCATTCACTTACTTTATGGCTGTTTTATGGGACTTTGTCATGTCATTGGCTACTGTGTTTCCTATTCTCACTACATTTGACTGCAACTCCCTGTGAAGTGCTTTGAGACGTTTCAATGTTACAGGTGCTACATTAAATGCAAAAATTATCATTAAAGTGATTGCTCCTCTATGAAAAGGTCAGCTGTCAACCTGTGTCGGCGAAATTCCATAACCAATTGCTGATTATTCATTAGGCAGGAATAAATCTTATCTTCTCTTTTTATCTTCCCAATTAAGTAATTCAGTATACCAGGGACCGTTATCTGTGACATACAATGCTGTCCAATTTTTTTTTGGGGTGGAGGGCAAGTTTAATTTTCTTGATTTACTTTACCCTCGAAGGATCTCTTTGCAGTCCTGTGTTTACGTTACAGTTTGGAGTCATGCAGTAGCTCAAAATGAGTAAGGGTGGGAAAGAGAATAGTGGATATTATGACATGAAGATGTAGAGTTATAAAAATGTAGATACCAAGAATCCAAATATTGGATGTAGGTCACTGAAGGCTAGAGATTAACACTAGATTCCTAATTTTGATAAGAACAGTGAAGACGTCAATGTTCAATGATTGATCTGACTTGTGAGCTACTAAGAACACAAGCTGCTGACTGACAGCAGTTTGTGTTCCTTGTAGAGCATCCAATCTTGAATTTAGTATATTTATGAGATTACTGGGTAAATGTTCAACAAGGTGCCTAATTCTAGGTGGGCCAAGTGGAATGATATTGTCAGTGTTTGGGATTTCTTCATAAAATTCTGTCTGGAGCCACTCTGCAATACGATGTGCAAAATAAAAAGGGAATCTATCTTTAAGTGGAAATTGGGGTCCGTGTTGGGAATGGCGGTGGACCTAAAGGTTTAACTTTGTATTTATTTGCTTTATCAGGATTAATCTATCTTATCTGTTGCTTCTGATTGGTGCAGAGACTGTACAGTACAAATGTTGCACTATCCTTCTCCCTCCCTCTTGTGCTCTTTGTGAAAATGCTCTCAATTACAAATGGCCGCTTGTGTGTTATTGTGATTGGTTGGCTAGCAAACCTAATCTTTAGATAGTAAATGTCGCCTATCCATCGAAAAATGCAGAGCTAGTAATGCATCAGTACAGCTCTCCTCCTGATTTATATCAACATAAGGATTGTTTGTTGTGCAGTGTCTTATCTGGTACTGTGGTTGAGGTATACAAATATATATATAGAGAGAGAGAGAGATATGTATATAGAGATGGCCTGTGGGACTGTCAAGAACCTCCCTCCCCCCGAACATTTGCAATAGTTCAGATAAACCTGTGTTTTGATTGGTAGTGTGTTTCCAGGTTGGCATAAATCAAGAAATATTCATTCAAGAACACTTATATATTTATTTATTTATTTATTTATCTTTTGGACAACCAAAAATGTTGGCCACCACAGATGAAATGGATAGCTTTATCAGAAAGCCAGCGCAGATATAATGGGCAGAATTGGCCTACTTCTGTGCTGGTTCTGATTTGGAGAATGGAACATTAGGCACTGAAGCTGTTTCAGCAGCTCTACAATGATTGGAAAGATTTTCAAACAGTACTCTGTACCAGTCACAAATGATCAGTCATTAAGAGTTGGCAGAATTAGTAATTTGGACACTAGGATTTGAAGAGGTGGCAACTGATGTGAGAAAACATTGCTTGTTTAATACTCTTACTGAAATAAAATTAATGTTTTGCTAGGTGTGTCGCTTTTACATTTTATATGAGGTAACTGCTTAAAACAATATCTGGATCACTGTAAAATGTTAGACTTCCAAATTATCATTTTAGTTCAGCTAATCTATTTGTGAAAAAAGGTAGGTTATGACCACATGTATTTAAAAAAATATTATAGAGCTGAACTTGATTCATTCATTGGTGATGTTACAGTAATTATATTCCTGGTACCTGTAATAAAGAGAGGGTGAACCTTGTTTACAGTAATAAGTTCACAGTCAGTTGCCACCAACCAGCTCCTGTTAAAATAAGTTATAGATCAATTCATCAGAGTTAGAGAAATGCAATGTGTTTTCTAAAGAGAATTGCTAAACCATTAATTCAAAATTCAAAATCACAGGGTTAGCTTGGAGAAGGGTATTGATAAAATGCATGGAGATTTAAGAGAAAATGCAGACTGAAGTTTAATTGGTTTACTTTTTGTTTTTATTTTTTTATTTTGAAATGTTTTAAATTTGACTGGCTATAATGTCACATATCCGACAGTGTAGGTTTGTAAGATTTATTCATACCCTGTACCCTGCCACATTTTGCCCACAAAATATACAGTCAATTCACTTTACTGTATATTCTGAATTGCTTTGCTCCGTGATAGGGCGCTATATGAAATGCAAGGATTATTATTAGTAGTACTGAAACTGAAACTTTGGTGCGATGTTCTTGGCGATTTCCATGACTTTCACACTGTTTCTCATGGTTGATCCTTTACTTTCAATATCTGAGTTCATCTGCCAAAAGATAAAATTACTTCCACATTATTTGTTATTGTTTGCCTGACTTGTTCACAAATATTTATCAACTATTGCTCTAGCCTTGTATTCTGCAGGGACACTCCCTATTTGATCTTGAGGTATAAACAAACACAGCATTTGACATTGATTATTTACTGGTGCTGTACAGTAGTTGATATAGTGTAATTGTTTAAGATCTCTTCTTATGCTCTGTTTTTATTTTTCTAAATTACACTGATGTTTCTAGGTCATTGGGTCAAACCCAGCCTGGTTCATTTGTGCTAGTACTATATGTGTCTCATCTTATCTGTTCCTGCTAAAGAACTCAAGGTCCAATTAGTTCTTCTTCCGATACAGAGAGAAACAAGATTTTGTTTCATGCAATTTTGATTTATTTAAACACTTACTTTTCCCAGTTGGATGACTCAGTGCAATCTTTTACCATGCCAACAGAATAAACAGAATGCCGACCCCCGTCCCCTCCGGTTAGTGAAGGTCCGTTGGCAATGCTCTTGTGGACCTGCGCTACTCCGAAGCTCTATAACCTAGTCTCCGGTGCCAGTGAGCTGGATTCCAATGTTAAAAAATGTCCAACTTCTGGTTGTCAAGTTGCAGCTGACGTCACTTTCTGTGAGTTGCTCAACAACAACAACTTCTGTATATATAGTGTCGTGGAGGTAGAATCTTGGAATGCTTAACAGTGGTGGAACTTGATACCGAGTTGGGAGAGAGAGATTGTGACTGCAGATATAGATAGTCAAAGAGGAAGATCTTCCGATGGTATCAGATGGGCAAGGTGGAGTCGTGGCATGTGCATTTTAAAGTGTTTTACTGTATCTACGCAGTATATGACCTTCTATAACACACCTGGATGGAAACTCAGTATTGATGTAAATTATTTGGTGCCACAGTTTTTTTTACCACAGACTTGATTTAATCCTGTTACGGTTTCACAAACCGCTGATGAGCTTTATCATAAAGTTTAGTAGTTATCGTTTTGTTTGTTTATAATTCCACCTTGTATCC